ATCACACAAACACACACACGGNTCTCTCTCTCTCTCTGTAGCGACTCACCTCATTGACTTTCGCCTGGTACATCCATTTGCTTGTTTTGCTCAACAAGCACCACTGGCAGGGACTGAACCTGAAGCTCTTGTGCCGATCAGCTCCGTCTGTGGAGACTTCAACCTGCTCATTTTTCTTCCTCACTCAATCTTGGACGACATCAGTCAGTGTACCCCCGTTAGCCCCCACCTCAAGGACCGGATCGTTCTCAAACACCCCCACCACACGCCCCACCACCACATGCCCCAACGACTTGATCTCCCAACTTGTCGGTCCCTTGGCTTCCACGCCAGCGAGCCACTGCACCTCATTTACCGTTTATCGCCCGCCCCCTTTGTCAGTTCGTCTTCTTTTGCCTCGACCATTCGTTCGTTCAGACGGCAGCTGGCACCCACGAAAACACACAACAAACACGCGCACCAGTTCACTTCTAGCTCCCCTTTCTGCCATCATGGACTGCTTGGCCTCTGCGGTCTCCACCGGTTCGATCGGCGGCTTGCCTGCGATCGGCGGCTTGCCTGACCTCGACTTGAACATGATCGTGGATGATCTGCGCTCCACCATGGAGGATGACTTCCCTCCCTTCGCTGCCAGTATGGACAGCAATGCCTTTGCGACCCTCGTCAATCTCAACCTGGACTTGGATCTGGGCGATCTGATCAACATGCCCGTGACCACCCTTCCACCACAACCCGGCCCCACCGCCGCGAGCAGCGCCACCAGCAGCTTTAACTCACGCACCAACTCCCCCGACTGCCACTCCCATGTGAACCCACCTTCGGTTCCCATCTTCCCGCCCTCAAGTATCTTCCACAGCTTGATTCAGGATCCAGCTCAATACCTCTCAGCCGCGGCTCAAGTGAGCCCACTGGGTGCCTTGATGGATCAACGCGACAGCGTCTTTTCCTCCATGTACGACACCCCGTCCTCCACAACCCATGCTCCGGGCTTGCAGCTCGAAGCAACCGCTTCCTCTCCCATCCACATTTGCAACGCCGTCTCGCCCATCGAAGCCACCGCTGAGAGCTCCTCGTTCTCCAACTACCAAGCGCTTCAGAACCCAACCGCAAGTCCCGCATCTGCATCAGGCATGATCCCTGCTAGCACCGATCAAGGCGAGTCCCAGAGCAAAGCCAAGAGCAAGGGCAAGGGCAAAGGCAAGGGCAAGGGCAAGGGCAGAGGCAGTGTCAAGCCCAAGGTTGAAACGGCCACAAAGACCTCCAACTGCACCAACGGCATCATCTGTCCCGTTTGCAAGGGGCCCGGTCGTAATAGCGATCTGCGCATCTGTGGCGTAAGTTTGCGGTGCACGCTGTATTCACATGGCTGCCTCCTGTCTACAAAGGCCCGAGCACTCATTCGACCTCATGTTTTTTTTTTTTTTTTTTTTTTTTTTTGGGGATGCTTGCGTAGACCTGTTACTCGGGCTTGTGGAATGATATCGCCAAAGCCATTCGCGTCAAGCACCAGTTGTGCATGACTTCGAACCTGCAAACGAACCTCGAAACTATTCGCACTGGTAAGCCCCCATCCCTCCAACGTACTAGTACAGCTTGCTGGGCAATGCACAAGCTCCCACCATCTCACCCCATTTGCTTCTCAATAGCGCTGCAAACCATTCCTCGTGGCTGCCAGAACAAGCACATGTGTGGTCCAGAAAAGTTCTTGGCATCCCTCTCCCCTCAAGAAAAGTGCACGCGGTGTCGATCCATCTACACGCTCACCTTTGCCCCGCGCTTGGCCGTGGAGAGTAAGTCGCGGTCCCCTCTCTGCGATAGTAGTGTCATGTGCCGTGCATCTGCGCGCCATTGCCTGCCCCAACGGCCCAACTCACCCTTTTCCTCTCTGTCCTACATCATTCAGTCGTGAACAATGGCACGTCGCGCCAAAAACAGGGCGAGGCCAAGCCCATGGGCAAGAAGTCAACCAGCAAAAAGTCTTTGGCAAAGAACCCAGCCAATGATGTGGCTCAACCTGCCGCCAAGCGCAGCAAGATGGCCTCGACTCTGGCAACTCTTGCCTAAGCCCTGCCCTCCTTTCACAGATTCCCTTGTTTGTTTCTCCTGTTTGTGAACGGCGTTGTGCGCGTCGTCTTATCTTAAGACCAACGTCAAAGCGAGTGCTGAGCTGGCTCTCTGCATTCGACCCGCTTTTTCACTGTTCTTATTCTTCGCGTCATTACCGTCCGGGCACCAGCCTGTTTCTTTTCTTGTCGCTGTTTCCATATATCTCTCCATGTCGAACTTCATCTTAGCCTTCCCATGTTATTCCCCTGCTTTCCCCTCGACGTCAATGCGTACTTTGCCGCCCCTAGGAAAGCATTCGATGATTCCTCTTAGCCTTGTTTGAGTGTGTTTTGGGTCGCTGTCTCTTTTTTATTTTTATTTTCGAGACGTGTGCGCCCTGTGTCCGTGTTCCAGCTCAGGTGTGAGCTGTTCCGTTCCCTTCTTCTTTAGCTTTGCTAGCGTCGTTGGTGTGGCTTTGCAAGCCTCTACCTTTTTTTTTTCTATCCTACAACTGTTGAATCGAGTTCTTGACAGAACTTCAAAGTGACCTTCTGTTATTATAGCATGTTGATGATCTGCGCCACCGCGAGGCAAGGTGTTTTCTCCAATGAATGGCGGAGCCAGGGTCTGTCTGTCTGTCTGGTTGGTCGGTGAGGTGCGCACTCTTGTTTATCGAGGGTTTACCGCCATGCTTTGCTGGAATGGCTCTCTCCACCAACAACAATCAGGTCAGCTGCATCGAAGTTGGGCGCAACAGGGTATCATCGACTTCATCTTCATATGAAACAAGAGCTTGTGCATGACGGCTGGGTTGCCGGGATGTCGTCGACACAAGGTGTCGATGCATGCAATCATCTGGGCGGCCATACTTGCAATAGAGCCCACCTGACAAGGTAGATCGTGCCTTGCGAAGACGTCAACTCTAGAGCAGGAGTGCCCTACCAAGCTGGCGCTTGATTATCGTGCGTTTTTCCGACAATCGGCGCAAGGCACAAACTACTTTGTTCTCTCTGTAATCAATGTTCATGGTCAACCGCGTGGGATTCTGACCGCTACACCTTGCGCCCGCTTTCCCTTTGATACGACTACTGCGCTTTGACTGCATCCCTGCCTCAGATCAGGCAGGCATGCCTCATCGCTCGCGAGGTTCATCAGCGCAAAGCACAATCGAGGAGTCCATGGGGAAGACTCATCAACTGATTTGCAACGACGCCCACTATCTATCTACACGTGGTGGCCGGTAGGTAGGCAGGAGCGTCTCAACAGAATCGCAGAGTGAGGGTCAGGCGAATACCATCTGGCAGGTGCCAATCTCTGCCATAGTGTTCCTATGAATTCCTCGCTGGCCCCAGCTTGTGAAGGTTTTTCCCATGGGTCGCGTGTGATGAGTCAACCCAGAGAGAGTAAAAGTTAATGAAATTGATTGAGAGAAGAGTTGTAAAAGTTGAAAATGAGTGTGTTTTCGTGGAACGAGTTAAATTTGAAGGGGGCAGCAAGCGTGCATGCATGGCCATGCCATCGAAACTTGCACCCAGCAAGAAGAGACACGCCAAGAGCTGCACATCATGGATCCATATTATGTCGCCAACCAGTGCCAACACGAAGGGGACACAAGGCCTGCCTTCGTGCACCCGCGAACACGCAAAAAACAAAAAAAAAATCAAACAGCAACAGCCACAGACAGAGAGAGGAAGAGCGGGAGGGAGAGAACACCTGAGCCGACGAGGCCTGCTCAAACGCGAGACACCTCCTGAGTGCCCAAGAGAACCGCCTGAGGCTTGCCTGCCAAGCGCTGCTTGACGCTGATCCAGGAGTTGAGAATTTGTTGCTCCTCCGCCTCGCGTTTGGCTTGACTGCTTTCATGATGACACCACATGCCACCGCAGCACTCGCCCTCTGCCAAAACAACAAGAACAGCCACCGGCAAGGCGCCACATCTAGGTGAGTCCTCGCCCCAGATATGCGCTCTAAGGCAACTCGATTTAAATCAGCACCTACGTCGTGAAAGGCGGGTTTTGGCCTTCTGACTTGCGCGCACGGCGTTCTTGCCCTTGGACTTTTTCACTATAAACAATCGGCACCGCCAGGCCAATCGCCACCCCCCATGAGGTTCCACGAGGGTTGATGGTCGACACGCGCGTGGCGCCGCATCACAACCAAGGCGGTAGCGACAATAGTCGCAGATTGCTGGCACAACCGCAATGCTCGCACAACAATGGCCACCAATCTCGGCCGTCAGCACGTACGTAGCGAGGCATCCTTCTTGCGACACATGTCCTGTCGCTTGCGAAAGATTTGCAGGTCTGGGCGAACCACCACGACTTCAAACTTGAGCTCTACCCCATATTTCATCCATCAAATCAATGCGGATCGGACCTCCATGAGTTTGGCCAAAACCTTTTAATGTTGAGCGCAGCGGTGGTAGCAACCAATCCAATCAAAATGCGCAGAATCGGTCCGGACACCACTTACCCCGCTCGCGCACAATGGCTTTGAGCTCGTTGATATCACAGTGTGACACATCCTACACGCATCATTCACCCCGAGTCGAGTCAAAAAATGAAACACCATGCCCGCGGGCGCCTATGAGCTGACACGGTGTCCACATAGCAAGCTTGCATTTCGTATCCAGGACAGACCATGCCATCGATGGTTTTGATAATGTCTTCCACCTCCAGCTTGCCAGTCTCGGCGGGCGAACCGGGCTCAATCATTTTGATAATGTTGTAGCGCCCGTACTCGTCGTCGGGGGCATCAACGCGCCACATTGACGAGACGGTGAAGCCAAAGGCAACCATGCGGTTGGGCCGCGATATCATAAGCGTCACCTCCCGCCCGTTGGGCATGGCTCGAGGCTTGTTGATCTCTGGCAAAGGCAACAACATGAGAAGTCCCGCAAGAGAAGGCAAAGACAGGAGTCAAGGCAAGACAAGAGCAAGGTCGTGTCAAACTAGGCGCGCGTCTCAGACAGCAAGGCTAACCTAGTTCTGAAGCTACATCGTCATTGTTGGACAGGGGCGTATCCGAGCGCATAAGGTTTGCCAAGTTATGACGAGACAAGTGGCGGGCATTGGCTCTCGTCGCTTCGGACAGCATTTTGGGAGGGGGTGCCTCATCTGTTTCTGCTTGTTGTTGTTGTTGTTGTTGTTGTTGTTGCTGGCGGGCCTCTTGCTGGCGGGCCTCTTGCTGGCGACGTGTGGCCTCGGCACGGCGCTCTGCTTCTGCCTCACCCTGTAGCTTTCGCTCTCGCGCCGCCTCGGCCTCAGCTTCTTGCTGCCGAAGGATCCGAGATTCCTCATCTGCCTTGCGACGGGCCTCTGCTTCAGCAGCTGCCACTTTACTCTCATGAGCGCGGCGCTGTTGCTCCACTGATTCTTCGGCCTCGCGTCGGGCCTTGTCCTCGGCCTCACGACGGGCCTTGTCCTCGGCCTCGCGACGGGCCTTGTCCTCGGCCTCGCGACGGGCCTTGTCCTCGGCCTCACGACGGGCCTTGCCCTCGACCTCACGACGGGCCTTGTCCTCGGCCTCGCGGCGAGCCTTGTCCTCAGCCTCACGACGGGCTGCATCAGCAAGAGGCGCCGCAGCCGCAACTGGAGTTGTCGACGCTGAGCCCTGAGCCGAGCCCGTGCTCTTGACCGAGTCACTGCGGCTACGTCCCTGAGCGGGGACGTGGTCCTTCAGAGGTACGGGCCAAAATGGATGGGCCGAGCGCAAAAACTTGACCACCTGACCCAAAGTTGTGCAATCGGTGCACGCCTTGCCATTGACGGTGTACTCCTCCCCCTTGCTACTCTGGCGCACCAAATGTTGCGTCGGCTTGCCTTTGTACACGACTGTAATAACGTACTCGCCAGGACGATCGGCCCCCCGACCCCGCACGAAAAAGAGCCCATCCACTACTTCGGGATGTGCCATGATCAGTTCTACAGCCCAACAAGGGTCATGCCAACCATGAGAAACAGCGCAAGGGCCCATCAAACATGACGGAATGCTTTCCCATCCCAAACTCCCAGAGCGTGCCTCCCTTGCCTACACGAGGCAACTCCGGTCGATTGATGCCAGAAAGACAGCATAGTTGCAACATACGATCGGCGTCGCTCTTCCCCATTGGACGGTGCATCCATGGTGGGGGACCTCGGCGTGAGGACTGTCGCGCTAAAGATTGCCGACGGATACCACCTGCCGCATCGTTGGCTTCAGTGCCACCCGCCGCGGGTGCCGGCGCACTCGACGGGGTCGCTAGATTGGGGTTGCGGACAAAGGAAGCCAGTTTGACTGGCCAATTGGGTGGAAGTGTATCCGTTTGGAATAGGGCCACCACCTATTGCCACATTCAGGTCAGGTGGCCGAAACTTCGAGGCGCCGAGTACAATGGCCTTCTTCTTCTTTTTCTTCTACCCTGGCTCTGAGCGTTGTGGGCGAGTGCAAGATGGGGTCTGGCAAGAGCGCACCTCACTGATACTGCGTGCTGGGCCAAAACTCTTTTTGTTGACCGTGAACATGCCATCAACCCCCTTTTGCACCAGGTGGTGCGTCGGACGGCCCTTGAACACGACGGCTAGGACGTAGTCTTCTGGGTGTCCCGGTCGAATGCGAACCAAAAACTTGCCATCCTCCAAGCCATCTTTTTGCAACAGCTCTGAAAACACGCCGAGTCCATGATAATTGAAGAGGGGAATGGATGAGTCGAATGGGTGCGGAGACAAGCAAGCAAGCCAATAAAAAACAAAAAACAAAAAACGTGGGGGCGGATCAAAAATAAAAACCAATGACAACAACGGTCACACGCGGACGAGGTGACGGCACACTTGCATGCGCCCTGCAACAGTAATGATCGACCAACAGGGCAAGTCATGGCGCATCGTACCATCGGCAGCATCCTTGGAGATTTCACCAAACTGCCAGGGGTTTGCCATGGCGGCACGCTCAGATCCTCGACGGAGGCTCGCGTCTGACGTGCTTTTTCAACCAAGCTGTGATGCGCACCAATGGAAGCGTTGCCTGTCCGGACAAATGACGAATGCCTGCAGGTGCATTTGGCAGCCAAACAAACAATTGCATGAGCCCATCGATGACTGTTCATGCTTTTGCGAACCCGAAGCCCTGCACTTGTCGCTGCTGCCGCGGTGGAACCCAAACCCGACCATCAAAGAGTCAAATCAACAAAGCACACAGGTTAAGCAAGTGCTACAGGGCGACAAGCTCCGCCCCTTTCTTTTACGAAGCCGACGTAGTTACATGCATGCACGCAAAACGCATGTCTAAGTGTACTTGTAGCTACACTTTAATAAATTACACTAGGTAGCAGATGCCTCAGAAGAGAGAATTTACTTTGAAGAGATCAAGTTTACATTCACACGACGAGTTCCAGTTTCAGTTTTTTTTTTTTTTTTTTTGTGGAGACGACGGACTGGAAAACGGCAGCGTGTGCGCAGCAGCATCAGACTGAGACGTGGGAGTGGACGAGGGAACATGTCCAAGGACGGGCACACGGTTGCGGTGCTTTTGCAGCAGGTCACCCCTCGTCTGCATCAAATTAAGCAGGACTTGCATCTGCTGCATTTCAAGCTGGAGCAAGATCCGACCTTTAGCTGGTGCGTTTGGGCCCGAGGCCAGTGATGCTGCTCGGACCGATTTGCCGTCATTGTTGACAGAGCTGACCGACTGCTCACGTGCTGTTTCATACTTTTCAAAATTTGAATCTCTTTAGGGAGAATGCACTGACTTCTTTCTCCTCTATCCAAAGTTTGTACCGCCTGCAGACCCTTTTGCGGCAGGAGCATGGCATGTCTCTGACTCATTTCCCCTCACCACACCCTTTGGGTCTCCGCTTGACGCAGAGCAATTGCAAGCCTTGTTGGTCAATCTCAAGGTCAACGACCTTACTAACCAGCAAAGGCAGCTTCATGATGTCGTTGTTCTTCCCTTCTCTTTGAGCCATGAACGCGACGAACACCTGCATTCAATGACACAAGGCAGCATTGACGCCTTTACCCACCTTCAGCGTGAGTGCTGCATCCCCCTCGTGCGTGTGCCTCAAAAAAATAAAAAATCCGAACAGCAACAGCAACAGCAACAGCAACAGCAACAGCAACAGCAACAGCAACAGCAACAACAAAATATATCAGGGATGCGTCTGGTATGGCAGCTTACACCTGCTGTTGTGTCACCGCTTGCTTGCCCCAGCCCCCGAGCTGCTCCGAACGAGGTTGACACCCGAGGCTGAGGCTTGGCTCAGGGAGACTGATGACAGCGTACCCGATAAGGATGCCTTTGAAAGCGCTCTGAACGAACTGGATGAGCTCTCGCTCGCCACGCAGCGTGCCCTCCTGCAGTTGGACCGGCGCAAAGACATCCTGGTCGGTTCTGCCTCATGGCAGGATTATGCTCTTGTTTCATTCTCTTGACCATGATGCCCCCACTCATGCCCACAATGGTCCTTTAGGCGGCTGGTAAGACAGAGGCCTCAACCTTGGTCTCTCTAGCCCGGGTACCTGTAGAGGATCCCGCGATCGATTTGCTACAAAGTATCAATCTGTAATCCGCTCGTGCAATGCATCACATTGGGGGGCTCTTGCGTGACTTGCTGAGCAAGCGCCGCAAGTGGCTAGTCATCGTGTGCTTTCTCTGTCTGATATATTTGCGCCCCTTGGCTGGGGACAACCAGATGCGCAAAACCTCTTCTGTGCTCAATGTTCCCACCAGTGGTTTTGGAGACTGGTTGTTCATTGTGATTCACACGCCTTTGACGGCACCCAAGGCGCAATACATGTGAAATCAGAATTCAGTTACATCACGGACCAAGCCGAGTCTGCATCAATTCCGGCGTACAAGGCAAAAACCTTGTTGCACTGGACGCGCAAGCAGAAGGGAGCCCAAGCCGGATGCAAATTCAACAACCAATGGTTTTTTCTTACGCAGACAGCAGCGACAGGCAGGAATGCCACATATGCGTTGTGTTGCCACAAAAATGCCATGAACACGACAACCGCTGGTAATCGTTGAGGAACCTTAAATCTCCAAGTCATCAAGGGCAAAATCGTAAATGGTGGCGTCACTACTTTGCAAGTCGATCGAGGGTGCTGGCTGAGCATGGCGGTCATAGACAGTGGCCCGGCGTCCGCTGGTGTCATTGGCAACGGGAAAGTCGTACACAGCCATGGGGCCCGAGCGACCAGTTGTGGCAGGTCCAGGAACGTCATAGGTAGGCCCCTCTGCGTTCTTGCTTTCGTTGGCACGAAAGACCTTGTTCGCCATGAGCGGACCCTGCCAAGACGAGCCAGACCCGCCGTTGTGAGGCGACGGCAGATTTTGTTGTAACAGGGTAGCAATGGGCATTCATAAGTCATCACACATACCTCACTCAGCATTTGACCATTGGCTTCGTTGTCGTAAATGTCGTCACCGCCGAAACGGCTCTCGTACATGTCGGCACCCATCCAGACCCCAACGCCACTGGAGCCACGCGCGGGCGCTCGGATGCCCGAGCCTTCGCTTTCGTCAGACAGGTCGGCAATCGACTCGTACAGCTCCTCGCTATCGGCCTCAGGTACGGCCGTTGAAAAGTTCTTTTCCTTGATCATGTCCGTCAACAGATCCACCAACTCACCAAACGTGGGTCGATCTTCTGCTTCCAGCGACCAGCACATGCGGGCAATGGCGTCGGCTTCGGCAGGGGCCTGACGTGGCGTGGGCAAACGATAGCCCTTCTCCAGCAAATTGAAAACATCACCGTTGCGGTACTCTTTGTATGGGGTTCCTCCCAGGGAGAAGATTTCCCACATCGTCACACCAAAGGACCACACTGCAAAGTATAGAGCACGGGCAATGCCATAATTGGTGAGTTGTGGCAGCGATCACAGCTGGGCTAGGCAAGCGTGAAGGGGCAACGCAAACGCACCATCAGACTTGGTAGTGTAGATGCGGTCCGCCAAGCTCTCTGGAGCCATCCACTTGACGGGCAACTTGGTGGCTGTGGTCTTGTATTCTTCGCCTTCGATGTTGCGCGCCAGGCCGAAATCGCTGATCTTACATTCGAGCTTCTTGCCCACGAGCACCTAGACAAATTGGCACAAGGATCCAAGGCAGCGCGCACGTCAATGAGCTTCAAGCAGGATTGCATGCATTCGTGACTCGAGCAAGATTGTAGAATAGCACACACAAACAGCAGACATTCAAGACACAGTGTTTGATACATACGTTGCGGGCGGCGAGGTCACGGTGAATCACGTTTTTCTGTTCCAAAAAGGCCATGCCGCTGGCAATCTGGAGGCAAAAGTCGACCATCTGGCTCACGTGAAGGGATTGCGGCTTGCTTCGCGACGCCCGACACTCACGCAAGTAGTCGCGCAGGTTGCCCAAGTCTGCCAGCTCAACCAGTAGAATATACGGCTCCTCGCGCAAGCAGTGCCCGATGATGCCAATTACATTGGGGTGCGCCCCAATCTCCTTCATCACCGTCATCTCTGACAAAAAGTCTTGACGCTCCTCGAAAGGCGCTCCTGGTTTGAGAGTCTTGGCCGCACACCCGCGCTCCTCACCGCTGTGGCGGTTGCGAATCCAAGCCCGAAACACCTCGCCAAAGGCACCATTGCCAAGTTTCTCGCCCAGGCGCACAAACTGCCGCTCCACTTCCCAAATGTCCGCATCGCGGACCTCCAAGACCGCGTACAAGTCCTCGGATGTCGTGGGTGTCACAGGTTTTTGCTTGCGGCGGAACAGAATGAGAACCAAAAGCAAGAGTAGCAAAATGGCACCACCAGCTGCGCCACCAATCACCATTGAAGTGGATGCATCTGACGCGGTCGATCCCTGACTTGTGCCCGAACCCACGGTATCTACCTCGCAATCGGTACCCGCGAACCCTTCGTCACACTCGCACTCGTATTCAGAGGTTGCCGGGTCCAAATCGGGGCTGGCGGCACCGGGCGTGCAGGTGCCATGACCGTTGCAACGGCCGTCGCAGGCAGCGTCCAGAATTGAGCATGTGGGGCCGCTCAGGCCGACGGCACACTTGCAGCGCGCACCACGACGCGACACCTCACATTCGCCCCCAAACTGACACGGGTTGGGGTTGCAGTAATTTTGGCAACCGATGCTGTTGGCTCCCGTTTGTGCATCACCCGAATAACCCGTGGCACACACGCAGCTCACCACGGCATCGCTGGGGCCAGAGACCGTGCAGTTGGAGTTTGAAGCCACGCACGGCTTGAAGCCAGCCAGGGCCAAATTATTTCGTGTCACAATCTCCGGGTCATACACCGAGTTGACAATGCTGCACACGTACGTATCCGACACGCAGGCACCATTTCCATTGACAAAGTAATTAATGCCCAGCGCGGCGATGGCTGGCGGCGTCACGCAAGCGTTGGGGTCAACACATGACATGAGGACCGCATTGTACTGCAGTGAGTCGTCAATGCACTCACAGGTGAAGCCCCCGGCCGTGTTGACACACATGGTGTCAGACGAGCAGGGCGAGGTGGAGGTGGCACACTCGTTAATATCCTGGCAACCGGCGCGGATGTTGGCGCGATTTTCGCGCGTGACTAGGCTCTTGTTGTAGATGAAACCATCACCACAATCCTTCACACTCTGAATGCAGTAATACTCGGCTGTCAGCTCCTCCCCAGCCGCGCATGTGTCAGGCGCAAAACAGCCACGCTCCGGATCGTATACATGGTCCGGGTTGGGGCAAACAACGGCCCATGTACATACGATCGAGCCATTGACAAGGGTCGAGATGGCCCCGTCGGGGCAGCGCACATTGCCTTCCTCACTCACGCATGCATCGCCAACAACGACAAAGCCATCCGGGCACGTCAGCTCTGAAATGACGCACCAGCCATCCTTCAAGGTTGACCCGGCGGGGCATGCTGCACCACACAGCACGCCGTCGCAATTGGAGCGACTAAAAAAAGTTGTGGCCACGTCGTCCCAGCCCAACTCTTCCAGCTGGCTCGAAAAGTCGCCCGACGCAACGGTTTGTAAGGCACAGCAGGCACTGTTACGTTGGGACGTAGTGACGCCGAGAGCCAAAGAGACGAGCGACGTGGCGGAGGTCTGTTCTTGAATCAGGGTGACAGCCACCGTGTCGATGGGATCACCCGCTACCACGGCTGAGAGGGCTGCGCCCAGCGCGTCTTCAAGGTCGCCCGCCATCTCCTCCGTTGCCATGGCAGCAGACACAGAGAGGGTATAAGAGACACCGAGGTTGACGAGGGGGCACGATGTGGTGTTGGCGATCCCAGCTTTGGCAAAGCCGCTTGGGCAAGCCTGACAGGCGCCGTTGGACACGATGTAATTGACGTCACAGGAGCAAGCGTGGCTGCCAAGACTAGTGGTCGCCATGTTTGCACCACAAGGCTCGCAGCTTGTCTCTGCATGCCCGCTCTGGGCTTGAGCCGTGTTGATAGGGCAGGGAACGCAAGAAGGGGGCAATGCGCTGAAGGCGCCCGAGGCCGTACAAGTCAGCACAGCATCGCCAGTCATATGAGTCCCTGCGGGGCAGGTGTAAGCCACGGCGTCACCATATGTGGCCGTGGTTGCGTTGGGAGTGGCGCCATCGCTTGGGACGTCACCACATGAGACGGGCACGCAAGTGAGAGGGGTGCCCATGTACGTGCCAGAAGTGGAGCAAGTGCGCCTGGTGTCACCACCGGAGGGAGTGTAGCCGCTGCGACAGGAAGAGGTTAAGGTGCTCGGGTAGCGTCCACCATTCGTGGCAGAGCTTTCCACCACGTTCACATCCACATCCACATCGCACAGAGTGCCCTGACAAGTGGGGACGGGAGCAGACCATTGTGCGGCGCCCTCTTCCTCGTTGTAGCGGCAATAGAGTTCGGGGTTGCCCAGCATGTTAAAGCCGGCGTTGCAGGAGAAAAAGGCCATGGAAATGCCCCCGTAGACCTCAAACTGAGCATTGCCATCCATAGGTGCAGTCAAGGGTTCACACTGCAAGATCGTGGTGGTGGTGGTGGTGGTAGTGCTGGTAGTGCTGGTCGTGGTGGTGGTTGAAGTGGTAGTGGTAGTAGTGGTGGTGGTGGTGACCGCGGGTGGGCACTCGACCGCGGTGTCGTCATTGGGTGCCAGAAAGACGATGCTGGAGGTCGGGTCAAATTCGAGGCCACCTGGACCATCGCCAAAGGTGATGCCAGTGACGGCGGCATGGACGTCCAGCGTGATGGTATACAAACTGTCAGCATGATCCGTCAGGAAAACTAGCTCTGAGCCACATGGGCTTCGCTCCGCCACACTGCCATTGTTTTGCCAATTGGTAGGCTCACTCCAAGCACCGGGGACTGCTTCACGCCACAGAAAGACTTTAGCGCTGGGCGGGGCCACAAACATGGGCAAACCAACATCGCGAGTCTGGCCACCAGCAGTGCGGAGAGTCAGCTTGGGTACGTAGGTGCGGCTAGGGAATGTGTCAAAAACGTGTGAGCCGGTTGTGAGGTCAGAGACTTCCGAGGTCGTCTTCTCGCCGGTTCCATCAATCAGCGTCAAGAGCATGCTGGTAATATCAGCTGAAGCGTTGTACCAAGTGAGGGTGCCAAGGAATGGCGACGAAGGCACAATCTAGGCGATGGGCAGAAGACATGTACTATCAGGAGGTGGTGGGATGGACGTGCGCGCTTGTGCTCACGGTATAATCAAGGAGACGAGCCGCCAAAGCCTACCTCGGTTTCAATGTCGATGCATGGCAAGCCTGCGACCTCGGGCGTGGCATCACTTTCCGGCACCTCTTTGGGTTCAAAGAAAAGGGTTGAGCCGATGGCGAGCTGAACGCCACCGCCGATGCCAAAAGTAACGCTATGAACGACGCGATCAGATTCCATGTTCACCACAAAGGATTCCTCATCAGAATCGGTGGGCAAGACCACGTGCGCCAGGCATGGCTCCTTTTGATCCCGCCACTTGCTGTAGTCCTCAAAATCGCCATCCACCGGTTGGTCCCAGAAGGCTTTGTATTAGGCGGGCAGGCATCGTTAGAAACAATGTGGCGAGGCTGCGGTTTGAAAGAGCAAATTTCAAGAGAAAACAAACAAAAGACGGGAGGAAAAAGGCACATGGCAGGCACGCACCGGTGACAAGGTCGCCAGGGGTGACGGACGCATTGCCAGTCAAGGTCGATCCTGAAGCTAAGACGGCAGTGACGGAGATGTCGTATTCTTGGCTGGGCAGAACGTCAACGAGGATCTCGGCCCCAGTGGTGGTATACGTGTCTGCTCCGACCGTGATCTGGAGCGCAGGTGCGAGTATCACAAAACACATGGTTAAAGGTTCAGGAGGGGGGAGCTTGGAGATCAGGCCATGATATGAGGAATTTTACCGTATAAGGGGCGGACGCATTGACATTGATCCACGACAAATGTACGACAAACGGGCTGAGGACGACTGCGGTCAGGCCCAGACTTGTGTAGACGCGCGGATCGGATGGGTTGGCAAACTCAATGATGGATGAGGGTTCAAACGAGAGGGTGACGCCGGCATCAAATTCGATGCGAAACGCTTGGGCGTTGCCACGCAGCGTGACATCGTAGTCGTCTTCGGATGTATCACGAGCCTACACGCATATTGTAACGGTGAGCATTGTGAACACATGCTATCCCTTGGCTTTGGCAGGAAAAGAAGCTGCTGCTGTTTGCGGCGCATGGTTGCGTGGTCTAAGCGCGGGGGCCTCATACCAGGACAACAATGTCATCGTTGTAGGGAACGCGCTGCAAGCTCCAACGCTCAGCAGTATCCCAAGTGCCGTTCACGGGGCTGGCCCATTCGTTGGCTAAGCAAGACAGGGGTGGGGGGAACAGTGGGCAAGAGCAAACGGCGCCGCACGGATGATAAGAGCACGACCAAGGGGCGGATCCAACCTCAAGCCATTGGTCCAAGACCAACCGCCACGACAACCAACTTACTATCACGAGCCACCACGCCAGAAGAGATCACTGCCAACACAAGCACCCACGCCACCACGCCAGTGGTCCTCCCGCAAAGCCGAGCCATGCTGCCACGATCCTGCCGCCACAGCTCCAGCGTCGTCATGAGAGATCTCTCTCTCTCTCTCTTTTGGAAAAAATGAGAGCAAGAGTCGAGTCCGATCTGGCAAGTACATTTGGTAGTACAATGATCTCTAAAGTATAGATTTGATCACACTTTGAATATAGTAGAGATTTTGGAGAGCAAGAGAGTGAGAGAGAGAGAGAGAGACAGGTACAGGCAACAGGTACTACAGGGACGGTGTACTGCAGGTACGACGTGCAGGTGGTCCAGGTGTCCAGGTGTCCAGGTGTCCAGGTGTACAGGTGTACAGGTGTACAAGTCCAGGTACAAGTGTATAGGTGTACAGGTGTCCAGGTGTCCAGGTGTCCAGGTGTCCAGGTGTCCAGGTGTCCAGGTGTACAGGTACAGGTACAGGTGCAGGCATAGGCACGGGCAAAGGTGCAGGCGTGCTCACTCTCTCAGAGACACAATTGCATGGGCGAGGCGTGCCAACATCTCTTTTGAAACTGGGGTGATAGGGAAGGCTGTCCTGGGATGAAATGATAAAGTTGGGGATCGATCAATTCGCTTAAACGTTTGACAGCATGGGGCGGGTGCTTGCTCAGCAAGATGGACGGCCTAACTCAGTCTTGGGGCTCAAATGCGAACGAGGCTCAGCCACCGGAGCATGTAGACACGTGCAATCGGTAAATTTCGGGCCACTGGTTCGAGACGTTCTATTGGGGAAGGGCGGGTCGGGGAGAGCGACAGTGTACTTGAGCTCGACATCGGATTTATGCCCCAAGGGTGAAAACGGGTTCCAGGTGTTCAACGTAGATTTTTCGCTTGTAGCCCGGGCGCACCGGGGGGTGGGGGTGGACAGAGGCTTACCATTGAGTTGGGCGAGCGCAGTCTGCACGGCTTGCCGCTCAGGTTTCGAGGCCAACAGACAGGCGCCGGCCAGGCCGATGCTTGTGGGCAACGGTGCCTAGTGTTTGGAAAATCGGGTTTGAGGCCCAGTCACCACACATAACGTCGCTTTGGCTTGCTGGCAGGGCAGATCGTACCGCGGCTTGAGCACAGCGCCGTTGAACGGTTTGCAGCTCTTCGATTTTGGCTTCGAGCAGATGGACGGCTTGTTGCAGCTGGTGCCGCGCGGCCAGGCTACGCCGGGCGAGCATCAGGGCTTCCATGGCTGGGATCAGAGCAAATGATTTCAGCAGCCTTTGGTCAGAATCTGATGCTCGCAGGGTCTGTACTCTGGGGCCAGGGCAGCGCTCTGACCGGGAGAATCGCAGACGCTGCGATCGGGGTTGGTGCGTGTCCGAGCAGCTTGGCGTTGCAGGGCCTAGCCAGGCGACCACGGCGAGGGGCCAAGGTGAGCGATTGGGCCGATATGCAATGCGGCGGCTCGTGCATGGGTTGGGCGAACCAATTGAAGCGCGGCCTCGGTGGTGGTCAGGTCGTGACTGCGGAAGCTGTCCGCCAAGTGGCCATGTTCGCGTTGAACGGTGGCCAGAAACACATTCGGGTCCAGCAACCCAACGGTCTCGGTGAGCCACATGGCGGCCTGCAAGACGGCACTAGCCGGGGCCAAGACGATGACAAGAGGCGAAGCGTAGCAGCAGGTCAGTGTGTGGCGGCGGGTCAGTACGATGGAAGAAGCAGGTAGCAGGCAAATGTGACGTGATAAAGGAAGAATTTCTTACAGGGAAGAATCGATGCCACGCAGGTAGATGGCGACGACCGGGCATTTAAAGACGGCCAAGCGTGCCCGGCAAAATTCGCGAGCTACACGAAGCGAATGGGCCCATCAGTTCAGCGGCAGCTTAGAAAGGGTAGATGGGCCGGCCATGGGGCTTACCCCGCTCGTCGACGGCACCAAGCGGGCAGTGGTAGGTCAAACCCAACCGCTCGGCTTCCACCAGCACGACCAAGGCATGTAAGAGACGCCATAACGCGGCCAGCTATCCAGGGGGTGCAGAAGGCGTCAGCACGCGAGGGAGAGGCCACGCACTCTCAAAGAAAAAGAAAAAAAAAAGTAGCTTACAGCAGAAGGTTCATCATGGCGCGCCTGACGCAAAAGCTCGGCCTCTGGACATGGTAGCTGGCACAGTCGTAGAGCATGCACCACCGTCCGCATGGCCTGTTTGAGCTGCATGACGGCGGAGCGCGACGACAGACAGAGCGCGACGATTCCGGAATTGAAATTTAAAAGAAAACTGCAATAACCCCCACATCTTCTACACAAACGTCTTATTCTTTAAGCTATATGGCAGGATGTAAACTCGTATTTAACTACATAAACCATGTGATCAACGGGGATTAGTAGTGCCAATGTCTTGACTGGACTTTCGAAGGGGTTTATCTGACAATTACATCATCGGAACACACGTCCAGAAGCTTGAACAGAAAAGTGTGTATAAGGCTACACTTTGTTTGAACTGATTACACTACACACAGAGGAAAGAGAGAGTGAGAGAGAGGAGAGAGAGAGAGAGAGAGAGGAGAGAGAGCTTAAGAGAGAGAGAGAGAGAGCTTAAGAGAGAGAGAGAGAGAGAGAGAAGAGAGAGAGAGAGCACACACACACTTGAAACATTTTTTTTGTTTTGTACAGTCGGCGAGATGCAGTCGATGCAAATGGCAGCGCGACGGGCCGCCGCCGTGGCCAGGCTCCAGTCGGGGCTGGGTGCTGGTAGCAATGCTTCGGCTCTTGTGGTATGGGCCTGCTGGGGGGTATCTGTGGCAGCTATGGTGTCAGTCGGGGGTTGGGTGGGGTTTGTCTGCGAGGCGTGCATCTCACTACTACTGCTGGGCGCTGGCAGACGGTGCGAGCCGCGTCTTCTCAGGTCCACGATGAATGGCTGGCCAAGGCTACCAAGGAGAACAAGGGCCAAGATCCTTATGAGGCTTTGACATGGAAGTCTCCCGAGGTTGGCTCCTTTTTTTTTTTTTTTTTTTTTTTTTTTTTAAGAAAGTTATTCAGTGTGCCTCGCGTGCGCCTTGGTCTCACCCATGGTCACCTTCGCCTTGTCATGCTGGTCATTGTTTTTGGCACGCCATTAGGGCCTGAACATCAAGCCCGTGTACTCGGCCGAGGACACGGCTGGCTTGCCCACGGAGATGCCCGGGGTGTACCCCTTCACCCGCGGCCCTTATGCGTCCATGTACACCCGGCGCCCCTGGACCATCCGTCAGTATGCCGGTTTCAGCACCGTCGAAGAATCCAACGCCTTTTACCGCAAAAACCTCGAGGCTGGCCAGCAGGGCCTCTCCGTGGCTTTCGACCTTGCCACGCATCGCGGGTACGCCCCCGTTGTCCCGAGCCCTGCCTGCGATCCTATCCAGTGTGCCACCTTACCTCACCCACATCACGCCTCGTCCTTTTCGGGTCAACACACATCACTTGCACTTCTATAGCTACGATTCAGACAACGACCGCGTTGTGGGTGATGTCGGTATGGCTGGTGTGGCCATCGACTCAGTGGAGGACATGAAGCGTCTCTTTGATGGCATCCCCCTCGACAAGATGTCCGTTTCCATGACCATGAACGGCGCCGTTCTCCCCATCCTTGCCATGTATGTCGTCGCTGCCGAGGAGCAAGGCGTGAAGCAGGCCGACTTGGCCGGTACCATCCAGAACGATATCCTCAAGGTCCGATCCCCCATGGCCGCCCGTTTCCCTTTGGCCTTTTGCATACTGTTGTCCACCATGAACCTCCACGCCTCACGCCGTCCACACCTGCCTGGCCCGCACCCACAGGAATTCATGGTCCGCAACACCTTCATCTACCCCCCGGAACCCTCAATGCGCATCATCAGCGACATCTTCGCCTACACGGCGGAGCACATGCCCCGCTACAACTCCATTTCCATCTCTGGGTACCACATGCAAGAAGGTTCGAGCTCAAGTTCCCTTTCTGCCTTGATGCTCCTGTTCTGCCTCGCCATGCGTTATGATTTCCTCTACTGAGCTAGGCCATGATCCGGTCTCTTCATCGCTCAAACTCGTCGTTCTTTGCTATCGTTCTTCCCATATTCTTGGTAGCCGGTGCGGATCCCAAGCTCGAACTGGCCTTTACCATTGCCGATGGTCTCGAGTACTGCCGCTCTGGCGTTAACGCTGGCCTCGATATCGACAAGTTTGCCCCTCGTCTCTCCTTTTTCTGGGCCATTGGCATGAACTTTTTTGTCGTACGTGACACATGCGCCTCATGCAAGCCAAGATACTTGGTCCTCCACGCCCGGTGGTGTTTTTCGGTGTCGTACGCCCTCCTGGCACAACGTTCACTCCATCAGAACGCTCGGTTTTCTGCCCTCACACTGGACGCCAACCCCAGGAAGTCGCCAAAATGCGTGCCGGTCGTCGACTCTGGGCAAACCTGATGAAGGAAAAGTTTGCCCCCAAGAATGAGAAGTCCCTTCTTCTTCGTACCCATTGCCAAACCTCGGGCGTGTCCCTGACAGAGCAGGTATTCATGTTCTCTGCTTCATCCAATCCGTTGGCGCTGCTTCTGAGCATGCCAGGGACATACCCTTACGCACCTCTGTCCTGGCCTGTGGCAATCCAGGATCCCTACAACAACGTGATTCGTACCACCGTTGAGGCCATGGCTGCCGTCTTTGGCGGCACACAGTCTCTGCACACCAATGCCTTTGACGAGGCTCTGGGTAAGACCCGGCTCGTCTCCTTTGCGCCGCCCGAGCTCCGCCCGATAGCCCCGAGCTTATTTTATTTATTTTTTCTCGCCCAGGCCTGCCCACCGTCACCTCTGCACGCATTGCCCGCAACACTCAAATCATCCTCCAGGAGGAGACGCACATCACCAAGGTACGTCAGCGGTGAAGCCCGCACACTTGCGCTTTTTTGTAACGTCTCCGCTGCAAGCACCACTCATGCGTATCCCGCCAACCTGATGGCCCATCTCATCTCATCTCATGTGGCTTGCCCTGTAGGTCGCAGATCCTTGGGCTGGTAGCTACATGATGGAGTCGCTGACCAACGAGATGTACGACAAAGCACTGGAGATTATTCGCGAGGTCGAGGACCTCGGTGGCATGGCCAAGGCTGTGGCCAGCGGTGCGTGCCATACTCCCACCGCCTGTTCATCCGTGCAGGTCTGGTCCTTTCAACTCATGTTAGTGCACACCCGACACGTGACAGGGATGCCCAAGCTACGCATCGAGGAGAGCGCCGCTCGCAAGCAAGCACGCATCGATTCCAACAACGAGGTGATTGTGGGTGTCAACAAGTATCAGGTGCAGGATGCCGAGAGCGTCGAGGTTCTCGCCATCGACAATGCGGAGGTGCTGCGCAAACAGGTCAGCTCGTCAGTCAGGTCACGCCCATGGGTTGACACCATTTGCAGCCGACACCCGCCACCCACCGAAGAGATTGCCCTGTCCCATTTCTTAGGTGGACAAGATCAAGACCCTGCGTGCTACGCGTGATCAAAGCAAAACCGACGCAGCGCTTGCTGCCCTTGAGGCCGGCGCCACCAATGGAGAAAACCTGCTGGCTTTGGCAATTGATGCAGCTCGCGCCCGTGCGACTGTTGGCGAGATTTCTTCCGCCTTGGAAAAGGTACACACGTGCTTGCTCCCCCGCGAGTGCTGGTGGCCCGGGAACACTCACCCCACGTTTTACAATGCGGCACTGTTGCTGCTCAGGTCTGGGGCCGTCATCAGCCGTCCACTCAGACCGTCTCTGGGGCATATGCCGCTGAGTTTGGTGAGACGGATGAGCTGAAGAACGTGATGGACGAAGTCAGCAAGTTTGCAGAAGACGAGGGCCGTCGCCCTCGCATCCTCGTGGCCAAGGTCGCGTTCCATCCTGACACTGCCACCCGTTGCTCTCAATTTAGCTTTGGTGATTCCATCTCACAATGAGCTCTATGCACTATTTTATTTCTTGTATTTTGTTTGAACTTAATTTTTTTAGATGGGCCAAGATGGCCACGACCGCGGACAAAAGGTCATTGCCACTGGGTTTGCCGACCTTGGCTTTGATGTCGATGTGGCACCGCTTTTCCAAGTACGGGGTAGTATGGCTTCTCCATTTCCTACTTGGTTTCTTCTGGATTTCTTTTCTTCTATTCTGATCTTTTTGTGAACGCTTTCCTCGTAGACACCACGTGAGGTGGCGCAGCAGGCTGTAGATGCCGATGTGCACGTCGTCGGTGTGAGCTCACAGGCTGCCGGTCACAAGACTCTTGTTCCTGCCCTCATTGATGAGCTCGGTATAGCTTTGCTCCCAATCTTTGCTGCTTTGCTGCCCAATGCTCTTTGAACAACCAACTCTCGCCTGCATCGTCCAAACTCGGTGCACTCACCCTGTCTGTCTTGGTATTCGTTTTCCTGTCGTCAGCTGCCATGGGCCGTGAGGATATTGTTGTCATTTGTGGCGGTGTCATTCCCCCTCAAGACTATGAATTTCTGGCAAGCAAGGGCGTCAAGCACGTCTTCGGTCCTGGTACGTGAGCGCAAGGCGGGGAGCTAGGTAGTGTTATTCTTTGAATGAAAGCGCGGGATTGTAGGCGTTCTTTGCGCACAAACTAAGATGGTCTGTGTTCTGCAGGTACGCGCATTCCCGTCGCGGCACTCAAGGTGCTTCACGACATTCCCCGCGAGCAGTAAAAAGGTCTTTGTTCTGAGAAGACCCTGCTTGACCCCGCCTTTTTTGGGGGGCCGTCGAGCTGATGCCAAATGAAAAAGGACGTTCAGGCGCTCAATTTTCTGATTCAGACACCAACCTCCAATCTCAAAGCGCCGCCATCCTGTATTCATCGACGCCAAAAGCCCATACAAGTTTTTGGACATGAAAGAGCAAGAAAAAGGCTTGAGGCCGTGATACTTTGGGATTGCATTGGTTCTCCAAAACAAAAGTGTGCACCTCTCCAAGTACATCCATTTTGCCAAAAGGATGATGGGTTACATCATCGCTGGACGGTGGAGCCACAATACCTGTACCTTCATCTCTACCCCAACAAAAACAGAGTCAACGCGAACAAGACAGGAGGAACACAAAGCCAAAGTCAAGTCACCAGCGCCTGCGCCGAGAAAGAGTGGGCCAAAGGGGTCTAAGAAAAGGAAAACTGGAAAGACATGTCTTGAGCACGAGCCATGGTTTCGTGGAAAAGTTGTGAGCGACGACGTCGTTCCTTTTCTTCTTCCTCGGCTTTTTCTTTGGCCAATGCAGCCAGCAGCTCGGCGCGCTCCGTATCTTCGGCCGCCTTCTTGGCCTCAAATTGCTTGCGCAGTTCCTCAGCCCGGCGCTGCTCCTCCGCCTCGCGCTCAGCGCGACGACGATTGAGCTGGGCCATGAAGTCGGCATCAAAGTCCGAGTCGCTTTCACGCTCGTCCTCGCTGGTGGCCTCAGCCTCTGCTTGGGATGACGCAGCATTCGTCGCCGGCGCGCCAAATGGATTGAAATCAGCCGACCCCGTGCTTGGGGCCGCCGATTTCTTCTTGGGCGCAACGGGTGGTGGAGCAGCCTTTTTACCACCGGTTTGCATCTCAACCATGGCTGAATCAAAGTCTTCCATCTTGCCCAATGCCTACGCACCACGCACCGGTCACTCTCAATGAGGCATCCACAGGAAGTAAGGTCGTCAGTAACATACCTGCTTTCGTAGAGTCTCGATGCGAGCATCTGCCGCTTCTAGGTCCTCCATACTGTTGTCCTCTTGAGCAAGAAACCTAAGCAGCAGAGCGTAGACGAGCTGCATTGTGAGATGTCGAGAAGACAACGGCCAGCCAGCAAGACAACCAGCCAAAACAAGAATGCTCAGTCTGCAGCTTCCCAATCAATCAGACTGGATACTTACGCAGCTGCTGAGCGTTGACTGCGCCCAGTTCCAACAATCACGGCCGACGCTTCGCGCTTCTTGCGGTCCTCATCGGATTCTGCCCAAAGTGGTTTGGCATTCAAGGCTTGGTAAATGCGGCTTCGCTCGGGCTCTGCTGCTTGTTGAGCAGACGGCCCCGCCTTGGCGGTCTCTGTTGGCGAGTCGTCATGAGTCACACCAGCTAGGTTGAGTTGCATGCGCGCCTTGGCTGATTTGCGCGGTGCTGTAGCTGGCGGGGCGGACTTTGCCGCGCCGGCCTCGGTGGCGTCAGCGGCGTCCGTGGCGGGCAACTCTGCTACAGGTTCCGTAGCAGTCATCGCAGCGGGCTCTGCCGATGTCACCTCTGCTGGAGCTGCCTCCGCTGGAGCTGCCTCTGCTGCAGATGTTTCTGCCAGAGCCGGCTTTGTTGGGACGGGCTTCACGGCCTCAGAGGCTTCGGCAGTTCCGGTTTCGGAACTCACTGAAGCCGGACGCGGTTTGGGTTTGGGCTTGGGTGGTGGCGGTGCTGGTTTTTTGACCTCGGTGGAAGACCGTTTGCGGGCCACGGGCGGTGGCTGCTTGGGCGCGGATGCCGGTCCAACGGATGCACGCCGTGGCGCAGGGGTAGGGCGGACGGGCGCAGTGGCGGGGACTTCAGCTGCAGGCGTTGCTTCGGAAGCAGGCGTTGCTTCGGAAGCAGGCGTTGCTTCGGAAGCAGTTGTTTGACTTTCATCCTCTGACTTTGGCTGACTTGAGCCAGTGGCAGGGCCTTGCGTGGTGCTCGCATCGGGTGGCTTTGGCACATCTTCAGTTTGGGTGTCCACTTGCGCGGGGTCGGCTGTAACATCTACAGAGTCATTGGTGGCCGCGTTGGTTTCGACCGCCTCGGCAGGGGTAGGGGCAGCGGGCGCTTGTGTAGCACCGGCGGCAAACGGGTCGTCCGTCGAGGCAGCAAACGGATCAAACGATGCGGCGGTGGCGTTTGCCGCGTCGGTGCTTGACGCGGGCACGCCAAAAGCGTCTGTTCCATCAAAAGCCGCAGCTACAGTTGCTGTGTCTATGCGCTCCCGCGTGACTGATTCGTCTGCGGTCACACTGCTCGTAGCTGCTGAGGTAGCAGAGGCAAATGGGTCATCCAGGCTCGTGGCAGAGTGGGCTTTGATCTGGACCCGAATTTTGGGAGCACGCGGCTTGTTCTCTTCCTCTTCGTCAGAGTCCTTGTCGTCTTCCGAGTCTGAGGCAAAGGCCTGTTTGAAGGCCTCCTCTGGGCGCATAGTCGGTGCCTCTGGTACCACGGTGAACCCCTGTTCGTCAACCGCAGGGTCCGTGCTCCCAGCCTGATGCTGCCGCTCCACCTCAAGCACCCGCGCAACGGCCTCATCCATGGTCAGCTTGCCTTCCTTGACCAAATTCAGGACTTGAAGCTGCTGCTCTTGCGAAAGGTGCAGCTCTGACGCCTTGAAAGCCGGCGCAGTGAACTTGACCTCAACAGGGGGTAGCGATTCCTGCGAGGCTTTCTTGCGGCCCGAGCGCGGGCTCAGAGCTGCTGCCAAGCCTTTCTTCTCACCCTTACCATTACCCAAGCTCGCAGCAGCCTCAAGAAGACGCTTCCTGTGCTCGGCATCGTCCACGTCCATGGACACCAAGGTGCTGTCAGTCAGCTCTGCAAGTGCTGCAGGGTCGGTTAATCCGTGCGCGGTGAACTTGGGGCTCAGAACCTGGGGGCAACAGCAGCAATGGGCCACAAAGAGGCAAGCGTATGAGTACAAATAAATAAATACGTCAATGACAATGTCAGAGGCGTGCATTTGCTGAGGTACCGACGCACCTCCAGCCCAAGATCAGCGAGCCACGCTTCCACACTTTCAGGAGCAAGTGAGCTCTTCTTGCCGCGCTTCTTGCGGCGTGGCGCCACGACAGGGGCTGCCTCCTCACTTTCAGGCTCGGGGGCAGACTCAGGGGCAGGCTCGGGGGCAGGCTCAGACTGCTTGATCTCGACTGGTGCTGCTTCTGAGACAGGCTCGGGGTCTGCATGACTGGCATCCTCTTCAAACATTGCGGCTGCGCTCTCATCTTCGAACCGGGGATCGGCGGCAAAGTTGACCGTTTCACGCAGTTTTGCACGAGTGGGGGGACGATTCTTGGGCCGAGGTCGTGAAGCCGTGGCTGAGGATAGAGGCTCTTGCACCGTGCCCGCCATGTAGGCAAGGTCGTCATCAGAGAAGATGAGCGAGGCGCGTCCTTGCTTGGCGCGGGCCTTGGCAGGCCTGGGCTTGAGGCCCTGTGCGATGGCCATCTCATCTTCAGCATCCAGGATGATGGAGATGGCCTCATCTACCGTTAGCTTTCCTGCCTTGACCTAACAAAGCCCAAACATCAGTGTGAGTGGCGAGAATAAGTCAATCAAGGCAGAAACACGGCGTGTATGAAGCTGAAAGACGAATCGTCGGCTCCCCTTGCACTATCCACGAGGAAAAAACACACGCAAACATCACACGTGACGTCGAGCCAAGGACGGATTGCAAACCTGATTCATGATGTGGCGGCGCATCTCTCGGTCAATGCGCACGCTCGCAGAAGTACCAGTGCTGGCATTGAGGTCAAGGTTGTCTGAATTAGCTGCGGCTGTGGGCTCAGGCTTGGCCCCGCCATCTTCCTTGCTGTCATCAGCCGTGTCGTGCAGCAGCTCTTCCACGGCCAAAACCTTGCGAATGGCCTGGTCGATCGTCAAAGTACCATCCCGGACCATGGTCATGACGGCAATGCGCTGAGCATCGGTCATCATCATCTCGCTGGCTTTAAGCTCGGAGGAGGGCTACATGGGCGGCCAAGGTGAGCACACGCCCTTGGAAATTCATGTGGTTCGCGACCAGACCTGCCCAAACCAAGTGCGGGCCCCCTTTCCCCTCACTCTCCTATCTGGTTGTCCATCATGGGGAGAGCGGAACCGACCTGCACGATGGGGGCGGGTGGGGGCAGCAAACTCGGGTCGCTCTTGTGTTTGCGACCAAGACCAAGTTTGATGCTCTTGAAGCCGAAGCGTCGCTTGTTCTTGACAGGCTCATCTGTCAGCAATTGCGAATTCAGCGGACTCCACAGTGAGTCCCAAAACAAGCAAGTTCGAGCGCGAAAAAAAAAAACAAAAAAAAAAAAATGGGTGATCAGTATTGCGCCAAAGCAGGTGAAAAGAAGCGTACCAGTGGAGGATTCCTGCGAGAGCTCGCTACCGAGGTGCACGGCCTCAGCACCGACCTCATCAGCCTTTTCCTCCTCTGCATCAGCAGCAACGAGGTGTTTGCCAGAGATGGAGCGCTTCCAGGCATGCGTGTTCTTGGTGAACTTGGTTTGTGGGAGCTGGGACACAGAGTCGGCCATTTCTGAGGCTTCGTCATCGCCTGCGGCCCCCGTGGCTGCGGAGGAAGAGGCGGCGTCTTCGTCGTTGTTGTCTTCCGGTTGGTCAAGTGTCTTGCTTGGCTCAGACCCTGCAGCTGGTGCACTGTCTGCTGTCTGATCGTCTTCAGCGGACTCATCATCCTGGTTCGAGGTCTGCGCCTCATTCGCTTCATCGTCGTCCTTCTCCTCCTTGGACGCAGAGTCTGCCGATGTTGGTGCAGCCGCGGCAGCGTCTTGGTCTTCCACATCCATATCAAAGATGGGGGGTTCGGGCGCAATTTCCGAGGGTGCGGCAAAAGGATCAAAGGGTTCGTTGTGTGCCTGCAGACGGGTGGAGACGGATTGTCGGCGGTTGTACCGGGCTTGCTGCTCTGGCGTCAGATCGTCAAAGTAGGCTGGTTCTTCATCGGGGTTTTTGGTGACGGTCATGTGCACAGACTGTTCTTGCATCATGAAGAAGGCATCATTTTCGAGCGAGACCATCTGGTCAGAGAGGTCCTTCTTGCTGCTGGGGCGCAGGCTCTTAAGCACGCCCGTGAGGAGGCGTTGTTTGCGAGATTTTCCGGTGGCCGAACGCGGCAAATCCTCATCTGCATCGGTTTCTGCGCTGGCAGCCGGGCTGTGCGTCGCTTCCTCGCCTCCAAAGATGTCATCCATCATGCCGGCGTTTAAAGGTGGGGGCCTGGCGCGAACTTCCTCCTCGTCCTCCGAGGGTTGATTGGAGGCGGCCTTGCCCTTCTCTTTGTGGCTGTCAGCGGCAGGCGTTGAATGTGTGGCCGGGGTTGTTGAAGCAGCGTCGTGTTCAGCGTGTGGCGAAGAAGTGGTAGCCACGGCTGCAGCTGGCACAGGGGCCGGGGTCAGAGTGGCAGCTCCACTGTCGTGGGCACTATCAAAGCCACTCCGCCCTGCACTATCGATCGTGTTGCTGCGTTCGCGAGATCGTTTGACGGCAGCAGCGCGAAGCGCCTCGACGGCTTCGGAAACGGTGCTGGCATCTGTTGCGACCAGGACGGTGGGGGTGAGACACATAGACATGGTCAGGACGAGCATGGTTTGCCTGAGCCAGGTGGGCTCAAGGAACTCGACTGATGTTGTGTGTCAACTCACCGTATGATGTGGTGTTGACGAGGTCTGCAATCAGTTCCTCAGGGACGGTGCTGTTGCCGTCGGCATCTCTAGGTGCATTGAAAAGGGAAAGAATGTGCAAGAAAGGGCAGGCAAATGGCCAGTAGAGTAAGGGGAAGGGGGATTGTGTCGAGCACAGTAAAAGGATGAAACACGATGAGAGGGGGGCGGGTTTGGGTTTGTTCCCAGAGATTGGACGGGGCAAGGCGGGGCCACTAACGTGTAGGGAGGGTTCCAGAGTTTGATCTTGCGATCGCGTAGAGCAGCCTTGACGGCATCTTTAACCTCCTTGGCCACCATGATGTCAAGTGGGGTTTGCCGAGGAGCCTGATACTGAAGCTACAAGGCTGAGAGCCTTTTCGGCTCGCCACCGAGCGAGGAGGCGACAAAGCAACCCACGCAACGCGCCGGCGGGGGCTCCAAGGTCGTGTTCAAGAAAAGGCGCGCGTGTGTGTAGGGGGCAAAGGGAAGAGGAAAGGTGTAAGAATGCACGTCGTCTAGTGCAACGGCGGCGCAGTGTTGCGTGTCTTGGCAGGCACGAGAAGGGGTCCGGTCGCCTGTGTTACACACGAGTCCAGCCGGCGCACAAGGGATCGATTTGATGAGCAAGGCACGAACGGTGGGGAGAGCAAGGGGCAGGGGCACATGACCGGTAGATGCAGGCAAAGAGGAGAAGGACAAGGACGAGCAAGAGGAGGAGGAGGAGGAGGAGGAGGACGGCCAGGGGGGAGGAAGCGGGAAGCAGCAGTTGATCAGTTATATATCGAGACGCGGGTGTAAGCGACAACAAAGAGAAGCGCACAGTGCAGTGGTGGGGTCGTGCTGAATGGAGCCCTGATCTCGTGGGGGGTGGTGGTGGCATCTTTCGGTGCCGTTGACCGTGTGTGTAGAGCGTTTGCTGATTTGTGTTGCTCCACCTCGTTGCTGTCACTGGCTCTCATCACTCACCGGGGCTGCCGTTTGATCGGTCTGCTTCCCGCGAAAAAAGAGAGAAAGAGAGAGAGAGAGAGAGAGAGAGAGAGAGAGAGAGAGAGAGAGAGAGAGAGAGAGAGAGAGAGAGAGAGAGAGAGAGAGAGAGAGAGACAGAGAGAGAGAGAAGAGAGAGAGAGAGATGAATTGTTGCAAACGTACAAAAACAACAGTAGACAGCGTAGGAAATTCCAATACGGGCATGTTAATCAAAGGGAAGCAGGAGGGAGGGCACAAGTCGACGAGCCATCCCACCTGATTATATTCGAGCAACCAAGTCTTTTGATGCCTTTAGGTCAGCGAGTGGTCGACGTGCTGGCTCACTCGCTCGCTCACTCGCGCTCGTGCTGAGTGTGCATGTGATGTGAGGTGGGATTGTCAGATTATGCTCAGGCCGACTCGTTGTGGTTCCGGGCTCCTTGAGGTGCCGGTTCAGCGCGAGGGCTCGCATGGGTAGTGGCAGATCAATGACCGCGCGTGTGTGTGTGAGTGTGTGAGTGTGTGTGTGTGTGAGTGAGAGAGAGAGAGAGAGAGAGAGAGAGAGAGAGAGAGAGAGAGTGTGTGTGTGTGTGTGTGTGTGTGTGTGTGTGTGTGTGTGTGTGTGTTGACGATGGTGGTGTGGGGGCTGGCTCGGTGGGAAAAACACGGAGAAGGAGCAAGACTTTGGAAATCTATTCGAGTGAGAGAAAAACAACAACTGCTGAAATGAAAGAGAAAAAGCCTAATTGGAATGGCAAACACACGACCATGGGCCTACGCATCCATGTGTTCACGGGAAATCAGCCACCCCGGGACGACACGCAAACTCACACAACGGGAAAATGAGGGAACGCTTGACAGCAACTGCCAGTACAATGGTCAGCCCACGCGCAATCTGGTGAGCAGACACAAACAATCTGCGCCCATCGGTGCGAGGTGGCTGAACGAGAAGCACAATTAATGTTCAAATCAAAGCAAAAAAAAAAAAAAAGTGTGTGTGTGTGGGGGGGGGAGGACTGAAAGAAATTCAAAAAAGACACATAAAGACTAGATAGAAGTGATTGAGGGATAGAGCCAGAGCGGCAGTCAAGTGGCGCTCGGACCCACACAGACTCGACAACCTCAACCACAAGCTCTCAAGCTCAAACGGCAAAATAGAGCGCAAAAGGAAAGGGAGAGAAAAAGGAATGGAAAAAAGAAAAAGAGAACGAGAAGAGAGGAAAGCCATTGGTAAAAAAAACAGAATAGGCGAGCTATCTTGACCTAGGCCGTGCTATTCTCAGCCGCATCGCCTTCGAGCGGAGCATGCTTGGATTTGAACAAATTCCAGCGTGATCCGCTTCGTTTCTGCACACACCCCAAACCCAGACGATCAGCAACGAGCGTGAGCGTTCAACTCAGCACACCCTGAACGAAATGATGCCATAGACCCACCCCATCTGAGTTGCGTGACTCTTTCTTGCTGGAAGCTGCACGCTGTGCGCTACGATCCTTGGCCTGCAGCGCATAAAGTCATTTGGATGAGAAGGAAGGAAGAGAGATAATGAGAGAGAGAGAGAGAGAGAGATAAAGAGATAAAGAGAAAGAGAGAGCAGTTCTCAGCAGTGCATTGAGTAAACACCCCGTGCAGGTTTGGGTAACGTACCAGACGAAGTTCCTGTTGGGCCTCCATAATCTTTCGCATGCCAACGCTCATGTTGGCACGTACCGAGTCATCGTGCGACACGCTGCCAGTACTACTGGTGACCGAGGGTGCGCGGCCGGCCTTGCCGTTCGCAGCCGCTTTTACATCTGCCATCATCATCAACAGCTCATGTGAGAGGAAATGCGTTTGTTGGTCACGGGTACAAGGAGACAAGAAAGATCAAAGAAAGATTGTTGTTCCAGCGAGCATTTTCACTCTGCTGAATGGCTAAAAAAAAAAAAAAAAAAGAAAGAAAGAAAGAAAGAAAACAAAAACGTACTGCGGGCCGCAGCACGGGCTTTGGCGTCTGCGATGCTCTGCGTAGGTCGGCGCGCTTGGCGGACAGCAGCTTGGTTTTGCTGCAGGTCCACGTTGCTCCGAGTCTGCGGGGTCAGATCAACGCGGTACTTATCGGCTCGGCTCGGCCCAGAAGGCACGTTTGGTGCTCCGTTGCCCACGGCCTGCTTTTTCCGCTGTTGCTCTTGTTGCTGACGCAACTTAGCCATCTGTCGCGCCTTACGATCTCGCTCTTGCTCACGCATGGCATCCTGGCTCTGACCTGCCGCGACGTCGCTGGATCCACGAGGTGGTACTGTCCGACTCGAGCGGGCCGGGGCCGAGGCCGGGCTGACTTTCCCAGATGACGCCCTTCCCGTGGAAACGGGACCCATGTTGGCAAAGGGGTTGAAATCATCCGAACCCGCCGTAAAACTGCTGGCTTTCGGACGACTGCGCGCGGTATTCGACGGAGAAGTCGTGTCCATGGTAAAAAAGGGATTATTCATCGAACCATCCGAGTCAGATCGGTTGATGCGCACCGTTGAGGAACGACCCGACATAAGGTCAATAATCTCGTCCTCTTCCTCGTCCTCTTCGGCCTCTTCATCATCACCGTCATCCGACTCAGTCGGCAGGCGTTCCTTTTTAATCGGCTTGGCCTCATCCATGAGGTCCAAAAAAGGGTGAGCTGGTCGCTCAACCACCGACTGAAGCGGCGACTCAGGCTCGGCATCCGCAAAAACAGCCTTTCCGCTGCTCGGCGATTCCTGTTCTTCCTCGTCCTCGTCCTCGTCCTCGTCCTCATCTTCGTCTTCGTCGCCATCGACATTCGCATCCTCATCCTCATCCTCATCCTCATCCTCGTCTTCATCCTCCTCGTGGTAGTCGCCCTCATCACCATCCTCGCCTTCTTCATCCTCTTCATTCTCCTCTTCCATGATTGTGGCATCCGCGTTGGCTAGCTGCAAAAGTTCCTGCAACTGCTGATCAAGCGTGCGCACGCCGGCACCGTCATCATCCTCCGTGTCCGAAGGCTGCGACGAACCCTCACGGTACATGAGAGACTGCCGACGTGCATGATCATGCTTGATGTTGGCCTTGGACAGCTCTTTCCGTGCCAGTTCAGCCTGCAACTTCTCCTCCGCCATGGCCTGCTCTTGCATTCGGACCTCGGCCTCAAGCTGCTGCCGGTTCAACCACCGATCCTTGGCCTGCATGTTGCGCCGTTGTTGCATTTCCTAGATTTCATCCGTCGCATTGCCAGCCACAACAACATCAGGAGCCAAAAATGCGATCGCGTGCCAGAAGAAGTTGCGAGTCACGAGACACAGCCCAGGACCCAAAGTTCTCAAACCAACAAACGCACCTTTTGCTTCATCTCTTCCTCGTACATTTTGCGCTCATTGGCCGCCTCGATCTCCCGCAGGCGCCGCGTGTGCTCAGCTTCTTCTTCAGCATGACGACGCCGGCGCTGTTCCTCTTCAAACCGCGATGTGCGCTCTGACATTTCTGCTCGCATGCGTGCAACCTCCCGCTCTGAAGCTTCTCGCTGCTCCTCTTCGCGCCGCAAGCTCTCCTCCTCGAGCTGGCGCAGCTTCTCCTTGGTGGCTGCGTCATTGGCTTGCATTTGGAGCAAGGCCTCCTCCCGAAGACGCGCCTCTTCCTCCTGTACCTTGCGCATGTTGGCCTCATGCGCTTCAAGCGTGGCCTGAAGCTGTTGACGGTTCTCTTCTTCACGTCGAGCTAGCTCCGCCTGCAATTCTCGCTCATGTTCTTGCTCGCGAGATTCTAGTTCAGCACGCAGCTGACGTTCTTGCTCAGCGGCACGCTCGGCCAGCTCCACTTGGTGACGCTGCTCGCGTAGCTCACGCTCCTGTGCCGTCTCAGTTTCCATCTGCTTCAGTTGTGATGTCAACTTGGCCAACTGTGCCTCACGCTCACGCATGGCCTGTTCTGCTTGCCGCACGTGCTCCTGCGCCTGATGCTTCTCGGTGGCCGTGTCTGCCAGCTCGGCTTTGAGCTTGGCCCGCATTTCCTCTTCGCGCTCGCGAAGGCGTGCTTCCATCTCTGCTTGAATACGCTCACGGTCCAGCTCGCGCTCGCGCTGATCGGCCTCAGCCTTCTTAGCCTGGTTGTGACGTTCGCGTTCCTGTCGCTCACGTTCAGCTGCCATCTGCTCCTGCATTTGCTTCTCGTACTGCAAACGCATTTGCTCCATTTCTTGCTTGAGGCGCTCTGTCTCGGCCGCTTTGCGCTCCATCTCCTCGCGTGCCTCCTGCTCTGCAGCCTCTCGCAAGGCCTGCAATCGGGCAATTTCTGCTTGCTTCTCAGCATCCAGCTGGCTCCGCATTGTTTCAATCTGCTCGGGACTGAGCTTGTCGTGCTTCCGTGCCATCATCTATCGTCAGTCAAGCACCATGCCCATAAGCAAGGCATTCGCAGTATTGCGAGGAAGGGAAGAAACGAAGAAAGATGAAAAAATTACAAGGGGAGGAGTAATCATGATAAGAAGAATCATCATAATAAACACAAAAAAAATCAATGAAAATAGCCCCTAATAGCTGTGACGACACGAACCTTGACGACGCTGTGGGCCTTGCGACCCTTGCCTTTGTGCTTTTTCAAACGGCGGGCCTCGGTGGGGTGATTGAACCGGAAAAGGTTCTCCTCGCCCAATTGAATCAGGTCACCATGGCGCAGACGCATCGAGTCCTCCATGTCTTCACCGTTTACCAAGCAGAGCTCGCCAATGGGGTGGAGGCGAACCATCTCCACAAGGCAATTGGCTTCGGCATCAAGCTCAAGGTTGAACTCCACAATCGCATGCTCTGCCTCAGCGCCTTCGCCGTCAAGCATAATGTCCTGCTCCGGTATGTCGTCCTCAACCAAGGGATCATTGGGGTTGCCAATGCGGGTGATGCCCTCCTAGCAATTGGGAGAATGGCATGCCAAGAGGAGTAGCCAGGCACATCAGAAAGAGACAAAAGAACGCACGGAAGTTGGGCCAGAAGAGAGAGAAAAGAGAAAGAAGAGTAGAGGCAGCATGGAGGCGCGCCAGCCGGTTGGACTGGAAGCGCCATCTGCGCAGCATAAACGCAAACTTGTGTCGTCGATTTACCTTGAAGGTGTAAATTGTAACGGCCGAGCTGTCGTCCGATGAACTCAGGCAGATGAAATGTGGCAGTTTGGATTCGACACGTAGGGCACGGTTGCCAGAGGCTACACTTGCACCATGCTCATCCAGCGCCTGCGAACAAGCAAGGGCATCAACTTGCGCGTTGGCCATGGGTCCAATAGCGGACGCCGCATGGGATCAATCTTTTGAGGAGCGCAAGACTTACTTTTTGTTTCTCCAACAAGATCTGTTCGGTTTGCTTGAGTTTTTCTTCCCAAGTAAGCTCCATCTCTTTCATAAGACTCTCGGTCTCCGTGAGGCGATCACGCATGTGCTGCAGCTCCTCGGTGTCGCCGCCACTACCTCCATGAGCTACCTCTGAGCGAAGGCGCTCGAGCTCCTCTTGAAGTTCGCGGATAACCTTGGCGTTGGGGTCCTGTGACCGACCGAGAAGCGTGATCAAGCATCAGAATGGCGCACATGGCTCGAGAAAACCAGCGCATGGAACACCGAACAACAATAACAACAATAACAATAAACAACAACAACAAGAAGGAGGGGTGGGGAATTGAAAAGAAGAAGAAAAAAAAAAAGGTCAAATGGCCACGAACCTCGTTGACAATGGCATTATTGACGATGCGTTTGGCACGATCGGCATAACGCAAAGTTGAGAGGGTTTCCTCATAGTTGTCCGAGGCAGGGCTGATGGCTGCCACCATGACCGTTTTGGAGTTGCCTCCGATCGAATCCTGGCGAGCAACCCCAGTGGTGCAGATGAGAATGAGCAACCAGTGATTTGCCACTTTGGCTTTGGAGATGGCCACCTTACCTTGAGAAGCCAGGTCAAGGTTGAGTCACGGTACGGCACAAACTTGTGCTTGCCCTTGCCTAAGCACATGTTCCAGGATGTATTGCGACGGCGAGGCACCCCATGAGTGTCTGTTGAATATAGGTTCCAAGCCGTCAAGCATGGTGGTGCCCACCGTTTTCGGCCAGTGCAGAGATGACCAGGCCAAGCGTGGTCAAGGACTTGTTGATGTTGGAGCCTTCTTGGAGCCGCATGCCCGAAGCACCGGTCTTGGAGGTTCGCTCGCTGCCTGCAAGATCAACGAGCGCCACCCTCGAAACCTGCGCGAGAGGGAATTTGCAATGGTCAAAATTTTGCCGAAAAGCCTCGCAGTCAGTCACATGGCGGGCGATTGGGGCGAACCTTTTCACCAGTGGATTTAGTGGCGGCAAAGTAGTGGGCCTGTGTCACTGTCAGGGTGAATACAGCATGGGAACGACTGCTTTTGTCGTTCATCTCCGTGGCTGCTGTATGGCGCAGCTGAATCATTTGTAGCAAAGAAGGAAAAAGGTGAGTAGTTGTCTGGCTCGTCCACAGTAAGACAATTGAGGTGGGTACCAAGCTGCATGGCTTACTTTGTTGCCTTCTTCCATTAAAGTCTTGATGGCGTCAAAGCCTTTGACCGCGAGCTTGGACAATCTGTCGCCCAAACAAGACATGGTTTCATGTCAGGTCAGAACCGGGTCACCGAGCATTCGTGGAGTTGCAGAACCGCGGCCGTACCCCTCGACGTAAGGTCCAAGGGCTTTGTGCTCGCGGACGCGCATGTTTGAGCCTTTGCGTGGATTTAACAAATCTTGGACCTGGTTGCACAGGGCAGCACGCACACGATGAGCGGAAAACGAGCAAGAAGCTGTGTAAACACGGAAATTGGTGGCTTGCGACATACCTTTTCGTTATAAATTTCCATGTAGCTCACTTCCACCTTGAACTTGAGGTCGGGATTTTCGTTGCCATCCACACTGTAGAGCATGCCAGGATGATTGAGTCAGTTGTGAGACAGCAAGAGGGGTGGCGCATAAAACTTCTTGGTGCAAAGGGTCGCGGATATCATCAGTCAAAACCAGAAGGAACAGGAACGAAAGCAAGAAAGAAAGAGAAAGAAAGAAAGCAAGAAAGCAAGAAAGCAAGAAAGCAAGAAAGAAAGAAAGAAAGAAAGAAAGAAAGAAAGGAAGAAAGACAGACAGAAAGTGTTCAGATTGTATTGGTTCAGAGAGAGGGCACAGAGGACAGACCGCTCAAAGATGGCATTGCAAAGTCGAGGGATGATGCCCAGGTCACTGTGGTCGTCTTGGTTGCCCATCATGGTGAACGTCTTGCCAGAGCCTAGAGCACGTGTACACACGGGCAGGCATGAGGAAGATCAGGTGCGTACATGCACTGACACTGCCGGGCTGCTGCTACACGATGCAAAGGTAGGCGCACCAGTCTGGCCGTAAGCAAAGATGCAAGCCTAAAGCGCGTGCACGGCAGCACGAGATGACCCGAGGGTGAGGGACGGAGCAGGTGACTAAGGCAAGTAAGTTAAAGAGAAAGAGCCAAGTGGTAGCAAGAACGAACGTTGTAGCCATCAAAAATATTGGTCAAAACATCACTGCCCAGGGACTCAAAGACGTGGGCTTGGTCGGCATAATGGTCATCGCCAAGATTGGAGCTCCAGAAGCTGTGGTCAAAGTTGAAGATCTATTGGGCGTACACGCGCCCAAGTGTGGGGTGAGCTTGTGAAGGGTTGACTCTGCACTCGGGTGCAGAGTCCGAACCGACCTTGGTTGTGCCGTCGTTGGGTTTGGTGAGGATGGTTTGCGTGCCACCGCGCATCTCCACAATGACCTCGTGTGCTCGTTTAAGCTCTACAAGCCAACGCATGCATTGTCGCGGGGATGGGTGTTGGGTACGATGAATGACCGTCACCATGACAATTAGCGGTCGGGGATGATGAGGAGAGCAGAAGAGTTGTAGGTACGAACCGCGCTTGTTGAGTGGGCGCGACCGCACGGCCACCTAGATGACGTGAATGTGCGATTGTGTGTGTGAGTGCAGCAGGCGATGGTGCGAGGGGGTGAGAGCGCGACGGTCAGTGTAATCAGGAAATGTAAATGGCTGAACCGAGTGCTGCCCCCATGGCACGAGAGCCGGGGGTACTTGCGCAAGTGAGTGGGATGTGGACGCGTGCACCAACCTTGACTTTGGACATGATGCTGGTGATGTGAGGGTCAAAGCTCGCGGGTGAGGGTCCCTGCCTGTTGTGTTGCTGGGACAGGTGGGGACCGGGCCTGCCTTTTGACGCCGCGAGCGACCTGTAAATGGGGTTGCTGGAACCACTCTTTACAAGGCACGACGCGACGACGCGCAACGCGCGACCCTTGGGCGAGAAACAGACTCGGGGTCCGGCAGGCAAGGGTCGAGTGGCACGCTCAGGAAGCACCCTGAAACGGAGCACCCGATGGTTACAGCGAGCCCTCGGCACAGAAGGAAGCAAAGAGCCACAGCTCCCTCCTGAAGGGAAAAGCAATGGTCGGGTTAGAAGGAGGAAGGGCCGACCTGCACTTGGTGAAGCGTTGCGGGCTGCACCTTGCTCTGTCAAGAGTCTGGGGGCTCTTCGGAGCGGAGGCGGGGGCTCGTCGAATGGGCAGTGGCCAGATCAACCTACTACAAGAAGGCCTCGGAAAGGAAAAAAGAAAGGGAGCACACGTTCTGTCCTCGACGGCAGCGAATACGTCTCAAGCTGCGTATCAATGCCTAGAGGTCGCGGGCGATGCCGCAGACCATGTGTCGGACCGGGGCGCAGAGGTGAGCGCGACCTGATTGATCATTGCACAGCACTGGCCTCCACCTTGTCTACCATCAAGCATGGAGCATCTCCGAATGACCGGGAAGGTCACATGTATCGTGGCAAATGCCTAACCCTGCGCTCTCGCGTGCCCATGGATTCCTAGCAATGATCTCACTGACCCGTTGCCGCTGCCCTTTGGGGAGTCTTGATGTTGAACCTCAACCGTCAACTGACTGAGAGAGAGAGAGAGAGAGAGAGAGAGAGAGAGAGAGAGAGAGAGAGAGAGAGAGAGAGAGAGAGAGAGAGAGAGAGAGAGAGAGAGAGAGAGAGAGAGAGAGAGAGAGAGAGAGAGAGAGAGAGAGAGAGAGACAGAGAGAGAGAGAGAGAGAGACAGAGAGAGAGAGAGACAGAGAGAGAGAGAGACAGAGAGGAGAGACAGAAACTTCAAGAGTCTTAACTTTGACACACACACGACCTGCGTGATACACAACAACAACAACAACAAAGGAAACAACAACAAAGGAAACAAAAGAAAACAAACACGCAGTTGGTCATCAAAGCAAGATCGTGCTTTGCGTTGTTTCAACTGCAACCTGCATCATCGGTCGGTTCGAGCTGTACATTATGACCCGAGCGACTGCCGCCGTGGGCATGTTGCCCGTACTGGTACTGCCAACCTCCCTTGGCAAACTGCAACCCACCACCCCCAGCCAGGAAACAGCTGTCGCCGATGCGGCCACAACGCACAGTCGCGGACGGAAACCGTCGAGCCCAAGGAGCTCAGCCCAAGCCTTCCAGGCCAGAGACAGGAGGTGTTCACAACACCAGTTCAAATCCAGACGATGTTTGTCAGACGATATTGTCAGATTTCTATGGTCAGCGCCGACGACGACGATGGACGAGACGGCAGTGGCGGCGGCGGCGGCGCTCTTGGGCGAGACGTACTTGCAAACGGGCTTGGATGCCCGGCGGACGCATACTCGACAGATTCGTGCACTCTTAACTCAGGTCGGTGCCTGATTGTGGCGGTGATGGATGCATCTGTTATGGTTGGTGGGGTTGGTTGCTCCTGTCTGATGCGGGGGGCTGCTTGTTGCTTTAGCACCAATGGCCCGAGCAGGGCTGGAGTGATGAGACCATCGAACTGTTGATGCACGAGCTTGCCATTATGGATTCGAACAATTTTCCGGGTAGCACAGGTCTCGGTGAACGTGAAGGACGAATCGCCGCTGGCATTGTTGCTCGAAGACATTTTCGGTGCGTGCAGCACACCCCACCCGAGCCGACTTTCCCCTCGTTGCTCACCTTGCATCTTGCCTGGACCATAACCACGGACATGAGTACAGGCTCGGTCATGGCATCGGGCGGTCGGGTGACATTGCAGCCATTCAGCCAAAGGCCGCTGGTTCTTCTCTGCTCGCTCGTCTCACGGAGAAAATGACCTTGCAACTCCTCCGAGTTGTCGGTTAGCCCTCGCTGCTCGCCAAGGCTTCCCTCCTTCTCCTCGAGCTCCCGATGCTCTTGCCTGATGGCCACGCGAATCCGCTCGTGCCCTTTCTTCCTCCCTCCACATGTCGTGCGTAGGCCTCCGGAGTACCAAACAGTGCATTCTTTTGCCCGTGGCCACCGGCATGGCCCTGGTCTTTGCCATGCTGACCCTCCGTCCCCGACGCCCCTCCGCTCGGTGCGTGACTTCCCCTCACAGTCCTTTCCAACCGGCTCAGACAATTTTCTATGCACACTTGTTAATCTCAATTCTTGTGGTCCCTCGTACATATCCTCAGCTACGTCGTCTGGTCCCGCATCGATCAAAAGACTTGCCTCAAAGCCATCGTCACGGCCGGTTGGCTGCTCGTCTTTCCCCAATGGTCAAGTTAAACAGCGGTTGACCTGGTTCTCATCCCCCTCCTCGGCATGCCCAGGATATACACCAATCATTATTGAGTTGCGCCGCAGTGGGGACCAGCTGGCTACCGACGTGACTGCCATCCGTCAAGCCATCGAGGAACACGGCCCCGATGCCATCCTCTGCGTTGTTACCACGACTTCCTGCTTTGCCCCGCGCAGTCCAGATGAGTAAGAAACGCCCTCTCCAAACTCTTCGAGACCCCAGCGCCAACCAAGATATCTTTCTTACATGCCAACCCGCGTCCATGAAACGGGGCGTCTTGTGCTAGCGTGCCAGGGGTGGGTGCCGTTTGCAAGGACTTGCAAGTGCCTCACGTTGTCAATAATGCGTACGGCCTCCAGTCAACCAAATGCATACACTTGATAGAAACAGGTGGATAATTCGTCCCGCTTTGGGAGTGAACCCTGCGCACACGGAATGCTTCAACTCATGCGCGCCCATTTGCACCGCCTGATACAGCTCAACGGGCTGGGCGCGTGGATTTCGTGGTCCAGAGTACCGACAAGAATCTTATGGTGCCTGTCGGTGGCTCTATTGTGGCCAGCTCCACCCCAGCCCTCATAACTGCACTCAGCCAAACCTATCCTGGTCAGTCCCAGCGGATTCTTAGAGGCCTCGGCTGACCCGCTACTTGTCCTCTTTGGAGTTGATCTGTACTGATTGTGCTCGTGGATCCATGTCCCTTGCTGCTTGCGAGTATCTCAGGGCGGGCTAGCAGCGGGCCTATTGTTGATGTCTTTCTAACTCTTCTGTCGCTGGGGCAAACTGGTTTTAAAAAGCTCTTGGAAGAACGCACAGTACGATGCCATGCTCGTTTGGACCCCACGTCTGCTCAACCTTTAATTACTCTTGCCGTGTTGCCATTGCCTCGACCCAGGCTGCATTCACAGCATTGCAAACAGCCATGCAACAACTTGCGACGAAGCACGGCGAGCGAATAATCCTGGCCAAGGGCAACCTCATTTCTTTCGGTGCGCTTCTGACCTTCACCTAATCAGCGCCTGTATCCGCAGCCAGCATCAGAAGCGTTGCTCAATGTTCGCAGGCCATCCTACTCAACCATATGCTCTCCCCCTCTCTCTCTCCTCTCAGCCATGTCACTCGATCATGTACAGACGGCTCTGCGCGCGTGTGGCACTGATGTCACTTATCTCGGCTCGCAGCTCTTTTTGCGCCGCGTTTCCGGGGCCCGGTACGATGTTGCCACATCCTCACAAAAAGAGGGCACCTCGGTGGCAAGGCTTTGCTTACACCGGCGCACTTTTGAGGTGGGCAACTCATCAGCGACTGGTGTTTGACAGGGTGGTGTCGGGCCACGCAGAAAAAAAGGTTGCTGGCTTACAGTTTACGGGATATGGTGCACACGTGGATGACTACCCTTCTCCTTATGTGACCGTGGCTGCCGCTATCGGAGCTAGCGAGGTTGGTGGTGGTGATGGCTGTGTAACCCCTCGTCGACCTTGGTGGAATGGGGGGAGATTCAAAGTTGAGAGCGTTATGGAGGAAATCTGATTTTTCATATCTGTCGGCCGTGTGTGCAGGCAGAGGTTCTCAAGGCTGTGGAACGTTTGGACGAGATCATCACCGATATCCACCGGCGCGCTTCCGAAGCGTCCCGCGAATGACGGAATTCCGCTCTTTGGTCGCCCTGAGTAGATCTTCATACACCCCCCCCTCCAGCTCTGCTTCTGTGAAGCATGGGCATTTTCTGAACAAACTTTGCAGACATTAATTTGAAGAAAAGGATTTTTTTTTTCAATTCTTTTTTTGGGCAGAAAAATAGAAAAACGACCTGCAGGCTGCAGGAAATGGCAGCCATATGAGAGACTGCACTGACCGGTACTCCGAAAATCTGCGCATGACTGTGGAGGGAGCAAGCAAGAGAAAAACAGAAAAGAAAAGAAGGGTAAACGAGCAGACTCAATCAAGCAGGCAATAACCTCGGGGACTACAAAAGAAGTCCTTGCAATCCTTTCTCTGGCTGGGGTTATCCTTAAGCCATAGCTCATGTTGAATGTTGAACGAGCTTTGATGTCGTTCGCAAGTGCCGCGAATCGCCCTTGATTGGTTGTGTGTTGTAAACCGAAGCATTGAAACAAGTGTTCGATCCCTAAAGTTTATCTCCACTTTGCGACCCGATGAATCTCAATCAATCAATCAATCAACTTGACGCCCGTATCTGGAAGTGGTCCGCACAGCGGGGATCCCAGAGCGGGGCAGAAGACATTTACTCGGAAAACTAGAGCGGCAAAGTACGCCATCAAAGGCGCAAGCCATAAAGCTATCAAGCCCTCAGGGCATGGCCACAGCTGATTCCGCGGGGGCTTTGACAAGATTACGATAATGCCGTAGCTTGGGTGGCCGATTGGCCGGCCTGAAGGGCGCTTGAGCACCAAACGGCTTTGCAATCGGAAGCGCACCATCGGCATCTGGAACATAATCGCCTTGGCGGTGCGTCTGTGATAGACCTGGCAGTCCAAAGCATAAAAAAAAAAATGAGAAAAAGCACACGAACAAACAAACAAAAACTCGTGTCACTGTACGATGGTGTCGAACCTTGGGTAAGATCCATACTGGCAGATAGCGCGGCATTCCATTCCTGCTTGAAACGGCGCTTCAACCGTTGCCACTCGCTTTCAATCTGCAAACAAGACCATGGCATGTCGAGGGCAAGAACATGAGCGCGCAATGGCATGCCTCGTCTGGTAATTTGACCGGCGCAATAAGCAGTGCCATGTCGGATGCCCTCGTGTGGTTGCCGCGGAACCGACATGACTTGTCTCTAAACCCACCTCGGGATTGGGAGGGCGGTTGGCCAGGAGGTTGGCTTCGGCCATTTCAAGTGTATCGCGAAGGTCGTCTGCTTCGCGCTGATACTGTGAGGCCTTGGTCTGGTACATGGCCAGCTCGGACACGCAGGCCTTGAGCTTGAGCTGCAGCTCGTTGAGGCGCATCTGAAAGTCGCGTGCGGTGGCGGTGGCCTGCAGTGCGTCGCCCCGGCCGGCCTCGAGTCGGCGCAGAGCGCGACCCAGAAGACGTTCGGTTTCTGCAAGCACCATGTCACGTTCCAAGACCTGCTCCTCCTTGTTGGCCAAGCGTTCGGCCAAGCGCGTCGCCTTTTCCTCAAGCGCCACCGGATCAAGGTCTTCTGTTTCATCCTCGGGACGCTGCCGCTGTACGCGCGTATGTGATTGCAGCTGTTCCTCAAGTTCGGACGTTCGCTTCTGACAGGAAACCAGTTCCAGCTACCAAGGGACAAGCGTGAGGGGTCAGGGCTATAGGTGCGGTCGCAACTGCAAAGGATCCGCACGTGGCAAGGGCGAGAGTGCGGCCGGCGAGCCACAGGCACTCTTGTACCTGCGATTCCAGGAGATCGTTCTGTAGTTTGTGCTTGACAGGCACCGCTTTGTTGAGGAGACGGATAGCTCGAAGCAGCTCAGCCTTTTCGGCATTGAGCAGCTTCAGGTCCTGCTCGCGCTCTTGCAATTCCATCTACCAAATCCATCCAGGGCCAGCCAAGTGGGTGAGAGAGAGTGAGCTCGAGGGCTGCAGGTCAAAGACATAAATGAGCGCAGGCATGCCGATGTGTACCAACCTCGCCCTGGTGGAGCGTGTTGTTGGTGACGTTGAGGTTCTCATAAAGCTGAGCCAAGTCGTGTTGCCGGCGCACCAATCCCTTGGCATGAAAGTCACGTTGGCGAACGACGCTTTCCTGCTCCTGACGGAGCTGTGCCAGTTTCTTCTCCACCACTTCTATGCTTTCCAACAGCTTTTGGTTGAGGCGCCCCAGATTCTTGCCCTGGGTCTGCAGCTCGCGCTCTTGCTGCCGTGTGCTATTGACTTCTCCGCGCAGGCCCTCAAGGATGACGCCACGGGCAGCGGCGTCAGCCTTGATCTCGTTGATTTTGACATCCTTCTCCTCAGCCGAGGCGCGAAGAATCTCAATTTCCGTGTGCAACATGCGCTGTTTGTCACGCATTTCGGCCAGGCGCTGCTGCAGGCTGTTGATCTGCGTGAGGCAGAGGTTCTTCTCATTCTTGGCGGTCCCGAGAAGCATAGCAACGGCCGTGACCTTTGAACCCACTTGATCAAGGCTGCGCTTGGCATCTCGCTGGCCCAGGGCGGCCGAGTTGAGGTGCTGTTCCTGCGCCGTCAACACTTGCAGCGAGCGCAGCTTTTCGGCGCCTGCATGATCTACGGCCCGACGGACAGCCGCATGTTGCCGAGCCAAGTCGGCACTTTGGCGCACCAGATGGGCCAGCTCCTTCTCAAGGGAGCGGTTTTTGGCATGCATGCCCTGTACCTTGGCCACGGCGGCGCGCGAGACGCCTGCTGTGGATTCCCATGCGCGCTGACTCGTGGTTAGGTCGGCCTCGAGTCGTTCTAGTCCGCCGGCAATATCTAGAGCTTCTTTGCGGCGAGCATCCACCGCGACAGCCACCCGGTCACGTTCTTTGACAGCCGTGTCTCGTGCCAAGCGTAGCGTTTCCTCCTTGCTCTGGGCGGCCTTGAGCTCACGCAAGGCACGGTCTTGATGGCGTTTGATGGCAGCCACCTGCTCATCAAGGGAGTGAAGGCGGCCCGCGGCAGAATCTATTTGGGTTTCAAGCAGGGCACGTTGCCCAATTAGGTCGACACTGGCTTCTTCAGTGCTCTGAATCGTAAGTTCATGTTGTTGCTGGAGTCGCTCGAGACGCAGGCGATCGGCGATGGCGGCTTCAATGGCGTCATCGACCGCGCTGGTATCCTGCTGCACGCGGGCGAGGTTGTCGCGCAAATCAACCAGGGTTTGGTTCCGATTTTGCAGCGTTTGCTCGAGTTGCTCAAGTTCAGCGGCACAACGGTTTTTGTTGTTAACGAGGAGCCCAGCCTGATTTGCAATGCGTTGGGGGAGCGCGTTGGCTGCCTGCATATCGTTTTGGAGGCTTTGTACAGTAGCCGCGGCAGCGGCCTCTCGATCGCGACTCGCAAGAACGGTGGCGCGCAAGGACTCAAGTTCTTCCTGCAACTCCGAGGCCTGTAACGTGTCACGATCAATCTCGGCCTGCAAGCCGGTTGACTGCTGTTCAATCTGCTGTATGCGCTCGCTGTCACCGCGACTATCGAGGGAGACGCCGAGGTCAAACTTGGCGTTGGCCAGGTCTTCCTTGAGCTGGTCAATGGCTTCCTCGCGGTCTTGTAGCTTCCGATGAACGAGTGTGAGCTCGTTGCTGGCGGTCAGAAGCTCTTGGTGCAGCGCCATCTGTGGGGTCCCCTCTTGGAGGATGCTGCCATCGTGCTGAGCCAGCCGTTGGCGTTGGTTCTGTTTCAAGGAACGATGCATGCACGGGCCAGATGAGAGGGAGGAGGCGAGTGCGGAGAGGAAGCTGGGGTGGCAGTGAGGCCCCAGGTAGCATGTCATGCCGGGCTCACCTGCACGTCCGTATGCAACTGCTCAGCTTTACGGCGCTGTGCCTCTTCAGTCTCTTGTTGTTGTGCCAGCGCCGCTACGAGGGCATCGAGGCTCGAGCGCAGCGCGGCGAAGCGGTCTACGGGCAATCGCGCTTGCGCCGCCATCAAAGCGGTCTCTGCCGCCTCGGCCTTCATCTTGGCACGGTCCTAGCAGCAGTGCACCCGGTGCGATGCGCCCCCCAATTCGGGGGCCCCGTCTCACAAACACCACCACCACCACCACCCCGTCCCTGATCCTGCGACCGGATCGATGCTGCGCCGCTTGGTTGTCAAGTCGATCGCAAATGCAAATACGTTGGAGCTGTATTTTTACCCTGCAAACACATACAAATATAATTTTGCTGACAATTAAGAGAGAGATGACTGAGAGCGAGATAGAGAGAAACAAAATGAATGAATTGAAAGAGAGAGAAACGAAGACAAGAGACACAGAGGAACAATAATACCACATGTAGACAGAGGGATACAGAGATTTGGGCACGGCACAAAGGCACCGAAGCACAGTGGCACAGCGGCAGGCGCCAAGGTCATCTTGAATACAAAATGGAAGGTTGGCATGCTTATCTTGGGTGTGGCCTCGGCAGGCAGTGCAACACCCGAAGGAGACATTGCCATGGCAAGGACCGAACCGCAGATTGTCGAGAGAATCTAAGCCGTGTAGTACACGACCAGTTCAGGGTAGATTTGGGCATTGTCAAACATGTTGGCATACTTATCTCGGCAGGCAGTGCAACACCCGAAGGAGACATTGCCATGGCAAGGACCGAACCGCAGATTGTCGAGAGAATCTAAGCCGTGTAGTACACGACCAGTTCAGGGTAGATTTGGGCATTGTCAAACATGTTGGCATACTTATCTCGGCAGGCAGTGCAACACCCGAAGGAGACATTGCCATGGCAAGGACCGAACCGCAGATTGTCGAGAGAATCTAAGCCGTGTAGTACACGACCAGTTCAGGGTAGATTTGGGCATTGTCAAACATGATCACCTCGCGATACTGCCCAGCCGGCGTGGCAATCACCGAGTCATAACTAAAGAAGAATGCACGTGTTAAGAAAAGGACAGGAATGGGGTATAACATGCAAGCGCGACTGTGGCTCACGCACCGCTCGTTATTGGGCGCATGGGGCAAAAGGGGTGCATCCAAGGCTTTGGGATCGGGGGATTTATGGGCACACGCACGTCCCAATAACGCCCGCGTAATGATCAATGTTCGCTCCTTATTAGGGCGAGATGGCTTGGCATATTGATGACTCTATGAACATGGTGTGTACTCATAAGATTTTGCTGTGACAAGATAGAGCATTTGCCAAACGACCGCCCACCTTGCCGGGGTGGTCGGCTTGATAGATGCCCCGCCCAAAGAGAGTACCGGCACTGCTGCCAGCAAAGCGATAGTCGAGGCCCAGGCGCACAATCTTATCACGCAGCTCGTGATCGGGGCCAATGCCATGGAGCAGCAGGCGCTCCTGGCACGGCATATCTCGGAGCAAGGCTGGTTGGCCTGGCAGCGCATCCACCGTAGCTGATTGGAGTTGGGCAAAGTGCTCGTAGTTTGCCGTGCGCTCGGCCATCTCACGTCGCTTGCTGCGGTAGCGCTCCCACAGTACGGGATTGTGCACACGCTCCACCCGTTTTACAGTCATGTTTCTGGGACCTCGTCCGTCGGCGCCCAGCTGCTTCAAGAGCTCAGCCACCTAATTGCATTGATTGTCACGCGCAACATAAAAGGCACTAGGTTGGTAACGGCTTGTCCCACCTCCAACGCAGCAAGCGCACGAACGACACACCTCGGATATGAGCTCGGGTGCATTCTGCAGTACTTCAATGGCTGGTCCCACATCAGTGGAGGGCTGGTCTCCAACTACCTGAACACTCAGGAGACTTGGACGTTGCATCGGATCCGTGGAAAGCAAACCACGCGTTTCCTGATATAGACTGCTCGTCGAATCGCACATCTGCACCAAAAGCAAGCATGAGCGTCGGCCTCAAACGATCGCGCTATCATCACTGCCACAAAAGTCAACACCAACCTCGGCAGCTAGATGCGAAAACTTGCAGGCCTTATTTTCTGTGGTTGTTGCTGTTGGATCCCAATTGCTCTTTTCGACCAGCTGGTCCGTGGGCAAGCTAGCTGGCGGTACTGTCTGTGGGAACATGTAGGTATTGTAGAGAACGCAGCCAAAGGAAAAGGCATCCTGTGTTGGACGCGCACCCACGCGACCCCTGCCAAAGAGGACCTCGGGTGCGACATAGCCTGCCGTGCCCGACGATGCAGTGGCCGTGCAAGGCAACAACGTTGCTTCAGCCGCCGCCTTGGCAATGTCAAAATCGCCCAGCCGTACTTTAGGGTGATCCTCCGAGCCGTCCAGCATGACGTTGCTCAGCTTGACATCACGGTGCACTAAGCCCTTGCTGTGCATAAAGGCCAGGGCCGTGCGCAGCTGGTTCATCAGCCCTTTAATGACGCCCGAGGTGGCCACATGGCGAGTCACCTTGCTCAACCACTGCTGCAGGTCACCCTGCGCACACCATGGCTGCACCAGGTAGGCACTTGGATGCCCATCTCGCACATCCACAAGCGCGCCCAGGACTGGAATGATGTGCGCATGTTGTAGCTTACGCATGGCGCGAAGCTCGCGAAGAAAAGTACGGAACTGATCCTGCTGCTGTCGAGCAAACGCATACTCTTTGACGGCCAATTCTTGCTCAGGGCAATTTGGCAGCTGTGCGCGGGCTTTGTACACCTTGTGGTTTTGGATGTAGATCAGCTCAAGTTGGCCTAGGCTGAGGAGCGTCAATGATCCGTCCACTTCGGTCATGGCCTCCAAGATGAGGCTGACCGGAAGATCGGGGCCAAGCACGGTACGGAGATGCGCTCCCAACATGCTCTGATCCGGGCACAAAAATACCAGGAGGGCCGGAAAATGTTGATGCAGCAGTTGTGCCAACTTTGCCACGTCATCCGATGGGCCTTGAAGCTGTCTTTGCAAGGTGTCGCGTCGAGCTTTCATTTCGTTCAATCTGTCCCCAAGGCCAGATCGCATGTCCGGGGGCGCAGCCTGGAGAAAGAAAGAAATTGCTTTGATCTGCTCGTGCAACTCGGCTAGCTCTTTATGCGCAGATACAGTTTGATCATCAACGCTCTCAGCCAGATTGTCTGCAAGATCCATACACGAAGACAGCACGGACATCGTCTTTTCTCGCCAGTTGTTCATGTCTTGTAGCTGTTGCACCAGGCATTGGGTTTCGTGATGCACAAACGCTTGATACCAGGCGTAATGCTCGTAGTCGGGAGGTGGTTGCCACTGCGCAACTGGCTCAAGACCATTCTGATTGGATTGGCTGAGCTTCTCGTGGGCCCGGCAGAGTTTTTTCCAGGCTGCGGACAAGCTCTGAGGAGGTGTCTGTTCGATTGGCTGGCGCTTGGCTTGTTGTCGCAGTCTTCGAACGCGGTTACTCGTATCCTTGATTCCCATTTCCGCCAGGGTATCCAGGGCATCAATGAGATCGAGTATGAGGCGCTCAATCTGGTTGTTGCTAGTCCTCAGGAGACGTGAGTGCTCCGAGCCCACGTTCTGAAGGCTAGCCAGTCGGTCAATGGCCGCTGTGAGATTTGCCGGGGGGGTTTTCGGTGCCGAAGGGCTGGGGGCAGGTGGAGCGGGGCATTGTGTGAGTGCTTCGCAAAGTTCATGAAAGGCCGGCTTCAGGTCGGGTTGGCACGTCAGATCGTGCATTGCCATGAGCTCTGCTTTAAGAGTGGTGGCTTCTGGGTCCGATTGGCTCATGCGGGCAGCGAGGGCCTCGGCTATTTTCAACACCTGGTCAAGCGAGGCAAGGGCGTTGGCTGCAATTGTTTGAAAAGCCGCCCAATCCATCTGAGGCAAATCCACTGGCGCTTCGTCAATTCTCTGTTTGATCACTTTTGCAGACACTCGCACGCCGGCGTTGCTTTGGGCATTGGTGACAAAAGCGTCGAGGTGCGGAAACGGGTGGGTGATGGCATTCGTGGGCAGCAGTGGCTGGAGCCAGGCTTCGACTGCCATGACCACCGAGGCTGTCGCCTGTTCCAAAGTGCAATAGTAAAGGAGTGCGAATATGAAGATGATTGGACCGCGGGGGAAGAAAAGCCGTTGGTACGAGGTGATTTGGACACACCTTCAAGGTGGGTACGTCGTCAGGCAGCGTTGGCGGCCAAGATGGCTCAAGCTGCGTAGCAGGAGCAGTTTGCGTAGAAGTTGAATGGGGGGGTGCGTTTTGTGCAGCCTTGTAAGCTGCAAATATGCGTTCCACCTTGTCGCCATGGCCGTTTTGGCGTGCTAAGTCGAGCGGTGTCTGGTTTTCCTGCCAAACGGGGCGAACAAGCCATAAGAAGAAAGGAGAGATGAGAGGTGCAATGAATTGGTCAAAAATAGAGGTGGCAATGTGGGGGCAATGCCAAGCAACGGCGGTGTGTGAAAGAGGCCCACTTAGCCTTAAAAAAAAGGTGAGGCGAAAGCAATCGAACAAAAAACGATGAAAATTTGAGGCGCCGAAAAAAAGCAAAGGAGCACGTGTACAACAGTTGATTCAAGCTCAAACGGTACACAAAGAACAGTGGAGGTTCAAAGTAGCGACTTTTAACACAATGCGAAGAACGACGGTGGGCACCGCGCGGAAAGGCAGAATAAGGGTTTGGTCACACAGGCAAAACTAACTGTGTTTTTGGCATCAAGGTCTGCGCCATGCTCCAATAGGACGTCGATGACATCAGAATGTCCGTGGAACAGAGGCCATCGTACAGCGGCGTAGATCCATTCTATATTGCTCAGCATCATGCACGTCATGAACAGTCCCAGCACATCAGCAAACCACCAGCATGAGAGGTGTCCCCTGTTCATCATCACATCCAACAGACACACTCGCAAATCGAAACAGACAGTGACCTGTTGCTGCCGACGCGGTACTTACAACCTGTAAGTTGATGATTTATCACACACACGCCATACATACAGCCCCGGCCCATGTCAAATCGACGAAGCGTAGGCCATGGAGCATCACACCATGTCCCAGCACATCAGCAAACCACCAGCATGAGAGGTGTCCCCTGTTCATCATCACATCCGACAGACACACTCGCAAATCGAAACAGACAGTGACCTGTTGCTGCCGACGCGGTACTTACAACCTGTAAGTTGATGATTTATCACACACACGCCATACATACAGCCCCGGCCCATGTCAAATCGACGAAGCGTAGGCCATGGAGCATCACACCATGTCCCAGCACATCAGCAAACCACCAGCATGAGAGGTGTCCCCTGTTCATCATCACATCCGACAGACACACTCGCAAATCGAAACAGACAGTGACCCATTGCTATTGACGCGGTACTTACTTTCTGCAAGTTGATTCATCACACACACGCCATACATACAGCCCCGGCCCATGTCAAATCGACGAAGCGTAGGCCATGGAGCATCACACCACGTCCCAACACATCAGCAAACCACCAGCATGAGAGGTGTCCCCTGTTCATCATCACATCCGACAGACACACTCGCAAATCGAAACAGACAGTGACCCATTGCCATTGGCGCGGTACTTACTCCCTGCAAGTTGATTCATCACACA